ATGAGTAGAGCAGCTAATGTTTCCTCTTAGCTCAAACACATTTCACTTTGCTCTCCTCAGGGGGAATAGTTCCCAGTGAGCTGCTGTTGGACTGAAGCTGACCCCTATTCTCCTCTCCTCCTGTTGTTTGCCCTCAGCTCAGACGGCTCTGTTTGTTTGGCCAAAGTTAAACGTGCTATGCACCCGTAGTTCCCTGAAAACGTAATTGCAGTTCAACCAAACAGTCCTCTCCCTTCGTTTAAACAAGCAATTTATTCCCACCATTCACCAATATACATGGTCAGGGGGGATCAAAACATGTGGTGAGTAGGCATACAGGCTTGCAGTGAGTGAGGGAACAGTGAGGGGTGTTTGATGTGTCGGAGCGTTTCATCCACTAATCAGAAGACACTTCTCCAACCTGCTCATCATTTTAGAACACTTGGAGCACTAATACATGGAGCAAGGGCATTTCAGGCAGTTCTTCAGACTTTCCCCTCTGCTTATTCATTTAAACCTCTAATTAAAATGCAAAGCATTCTCATGGTCCTCTGGATTTGGTGCTGCACTCTTGCACCGCCTCTGACTCCCTATCTCCTCTCCCTTTTTCTCCACTCCCCTGCTAACCCCCACCCTCCTCTTTCCACCTCACCTAACTCCCTGCTCTCATATTCTCTCTGTCTGCCTTTGCTTCTTGTGATCAACACAATTTGACCTCTCACTTGGAAGAAGTGCACAGAATTTAATGGATTTTTTACAGTCTAATCTAACCAGTTCCCTCTTTATAGCTGTTTTGTACCCAGTGGACCTCATCTTTACCAGCCCTCCACCACCTCCTCCACCCTCACACCAAGAAAATTAGTTCATCAGAATTCAAACTGTACTGCCGGCTAATTAAAGGAGTGTTAATTGAGTGTTCAGAATTGGGTACCCCTTTCACCAGACGCGCACACACACACACACACACACACACACACAAGCACACGTGCAATCACAGTAACGGCACTGGGTACACCAAGGACGTTGCGCTTGGGGAGTTTCATGCCAATCAAAAATGGAGAGAAAGGAGAGTGCCCATCCTCCAAGTGAAATGGGATTTCTAGATCAAATCATGGCCTACTGCGGCTCAGCCCGGCTCTGTGCTGCCATGTTATCCTATCCCAGCCTTGCTATCTCTGTCTGACCGCTGGAGAGTGTAACACTGCACAGATAGCCTCTCTCAATACGTGCATCGTGCTAATGAGGGGTGGCATTTAGAGATGTGCTGCTCTGACACATGGGCATTGTGTGCCAGGCACTGGGCTATTAAGGACAAAGGTCAGCCCATTAATTGCCTCCCTGCCATCTCCGCTCCCTGGCGCGTGATCTCTCAGAACTAATGCATGTGTTTGCCTGAGCTTTTATCTCATCTCCAATGCAGTTCAATCATATGCTTGGTTTGTTTACATTCCTTTCATGTGTAACTGTTTCCCCTGCTTATTGTTAAAGCAGTGCTAGGCCAGGTTCTCTGTTCCTTTGCAAAAAGATGTTTCATGTGCTTGTGAGTGCACATAGACTCCTGCTCACAGGAAGGGAAAAAACATATTCTTGCATCCCCAGGGAAATAATTAATCCTTACAAGGCTGTCGCATGTCGAAATGAAGCGAGTGTGAAGCATTTAGCCCAGGAGGCATTGCAGGCTGTCGCCCGCACAGGCACCTGTTGTTGTCCCTGCCCTACATTTCATGAGAGAGAGCTGAGCAGAGGATAACAACATGCTCCACTGATGGCAAATGAGACACACAACTGCAGATGCAGGTTTGTGTGTATTTGAGCCTTTTTTCTGTTTTCCTGCAATGCGTTAGCATGCACGGCGAGGCTGGAGAGTGTGCACAGGTGCAGGAAACCCCCTACCTTATGAGGAGGTGAGGGCTCACACAAAGGAGGCACTGCTGGCTGCCTCAGAGGCTGTTTATCAGCCAGCACCATCTGTATGCTGCTGCTCATAGCTATGATCTACTGCAGCCTAAACCAATAAGTCACAGAGTGCCAGCCTAAAATGAGACTCTCTCCTTTAACCTCCATGTCCTCACTTATAGACTCACTGCTCTGGAGGAGAGAGATGTGGAGACCCTGCACATCAAACACACACAGTGTTCCACTGAATGTATGGGAGTGAAATGACGCCCCGGTTTGTGGGCATACTTACTGTAATCAACTTTGCTATAACATTTATACCATGGAACTTTTTATTGAGGGGGCTGGAATCAGAAGCATCCAGATGCTCATTTGCCTCCTCCTCCTCTTCTTCCTTTATGCCTGTGGGTTCTAATAACCGGAAGCCTTTGTGGAGCTGAGATGGGTTTTGTAGGCCTGAAAGGCCTCTAATCCCTGTGGCCTATGAAGTGTGAAACCCTTTGATGCCAGGTTGGTGTGCCAAAGGCTCTGCCTATTGACAAACAAGGGCCAAGCTGGGAAAAGACGGAGGGAGAGGGCTTTCTCGTCTCTCTCGGAAGAAATGCAGGCTCAGGCATGGAGAATATGGACTCAGTCAGTGAGAAGGAATAGAATTAGCCACCCTTAAATGAATTTCCTGGCTGTTTTTATAGTTTTTTCCTCACGTGGCAGTAATTAGGTGGAATGATGGGCATATTGCAGCTGGGGGCTTGTAGGGGCAGCAGGGCACAGGGTCTTGATATGCCTGAAAGCCAAGTATCTTTCCTCATTTAGACCATGTGATGATCAAAGATGTTTTTTTTGCCCTCATGTAAAGAAGATCAGAAAATATGCTGCCATGCCATTTGCATGTGGACCAGCAGTGTGCTTTGAAATGAGCATGTTTTTATCTTCTGAGCAAATGAAATAAGTCTTCTGTCAGTTTTCAAATGCAAGTCAGAACATCAAAGCAGATGGCAGTGCCGTCACCGGGGGAGCAGAGCTCTCCCTCAGAAAGGTTGGTTAGATCTTTGATAGGCTGGACTGGCACACTCAGCCTTGCCCATTAGGATGGCACCAGGATATCATTCTGATTTAAGTTATTAAATCAACTCTATTTCTACAAATTTAAAATATAATTTGAAGTACAGTGTCTCTGATTTAGAGATCATGTTGTCGGTAGTCAGAAATAGGTCTTGTACTTAATTTGGCTTGGGATATTCACAGGCTCTCCCCTCTGCTGTTAAATTCCCAATTTATTCCTTTTATGATATGGATCTTGTAGATTTAATCATTTTCACAGTTGGAGACCCAAAGGGTTGTTGAAATGAACTCCCCATGCTATCTGTAATGGGACCAAAGAAATGAGAATTGTGACTACTTGGCTGTGGAGTCTCTTTATAATGAATTTGCAATCGGAGAGGAAATGGAGTGAGTCGTAGTCACAGGCTGCACCCTGCAGACTCCTTCGGTCGCTTGGGCATTTGCTGACAGCACAGTTATGGCAGTTAATTTTTTTACGTTTTGTTAGCTTTTGCATGAAAGTGTCATTTTTGAAGGGGTTGCAAGTCATTTGTGGCAGCTGATATATTGCTTGTAAATTGAGTTATTTTTCCAGCCCTCCACCCTTTTTGTTACACTGAGCTAAGTAGCCATGAAATTGCCTGAATAATGTCGTTTAAATCCAATCTCACCGCGGCCTCTCACCTCCATGCCCAGCTCCCAAACAATGACACATGGTGGGGTTTTTAGAAATTGCCATTTTCCTGTTTGCCACCTCAATTCACAATGGGCAAGCCTTGGCTCATTGAGCGAGGGCCATTGCTACTCTCACTGCCGCGTTCACTTCTGAATTTAATTTTGGGTTCGGAGTGGTTTTTATATGGCAAACCGTACACAGCATTTACATGTATAGTGCATTCGTAGCAATGTCTATGTACCTGTTTTTTGTCCTTCAACCGTCACCTGAAAATATAAAATAAATACATGTACTCTTTATTATACAAACGCAAAACAACATTTATTTTTGCTACTCTGTGACATAATTGAGATATTTCATGGTCACACAAACCATTAGCATGTATTTTGTTTGATTTTACCTCAACAATTATGTGTCTTGTTAGTGTGTTTTCAATTTCAAACCAATTATTAGTTTTATCTTTGAAAACATTTAAAGATAGCAGCACTGTAGCAGTCTTGACGAGGCTTCGGTTTGGTGTAGATCACCTTAACCCGGGTCGGATTCCCAATAGATGTTATAGTGCTTTTTGTGAAGCCTCTCCACGTTCTCCTGGATTGAATACATGTGGAAATGATGTGGCCAAGGGTAAGACCCAGTAAGTGAAACCACTTATGAATCTCAACTGTGCAATTGCAATTAAACAAGCTTTTATCCCATCGCTTCGTCCCTGCTTGCCTGATATCCAGGGCTAACCCAATTCAATGCTAAAGAGGGTCCGAATTAATTTCACAATGCACTGATTTAACAGCGCCTAAGGAACCAGGCTTTGACGGAATTAGTTTTTTTAAATATCCATTTGTCTAGGGATGAACTTCCACAGGAGGGTTTGACAATGAGATGAAAGGAAAACTCAATTGGAGGAGGGAAGTGATGGAACATAAATGAATGTCAGTTCAGATTTACTGTAATTTAGTGGGAGGCTGTGGCTCAGTGGATAGTGTGCTAGACTTGGAATCAAGGGGTACCAAGTTCGAATCAGTCAGCATGTCAAATTTCTCCTGTGGGGATTGCCCACAGTACTGAATGTATGTAAGTCGCTTTGGATAAAAGCGTCTAATGTAATGTACAAACTCTGTTCGGGTTGTTTGGCACTGGGTCCTCTGTTTGCATCTGGTTTTATTCACCTGCTCTTGTAGAACACTCACATTACTCAGTGTGCTTTAGATGTAGTCACTGTACTGCTGCCGGGTTATACTGTTGCAGCAGAGAAGTGGTTATTGCAATTGATTGATTGATCTGACTTTGAGGCTGCCATTGCTCTTGGCTCCTTCAATATTCCTGGTAATTAAACTCAGGTGTGCGAATCTGCAACACATGCACCAGTCTATTTTTTCCACTCATACCCTTTTCTCTCTTTATCTTGCAGGTGAGCTGGCGGTACCCACACATTCCCCACGCTACCCCACTGCGGCAGAACTTGATGCCTTCGCTCAGAAGACGGCCAACAGCCCTCTGTCTATCAAGATCTTCCCCACCAACATCAGGGTTCCTCAGCACAAACACCTTAATCGGACTGTGAATGGATATGACACCACCGGGACACGCTATGGTCCCTTTATCTGCGCCGGGGGGCTGCTCGCCGTCCTCAAGGCCTCTTCATCGTCATCAACAGGCACCTTCTTTCCTGCAAAAGGTGTTCTGAAGAATTCCGAAGGCAGACGGACTAAGCTCTCTCCAGCCCACATAGCAGTTGCCCCATACCCGCCCCCTAGTAGTAGCACTTTAGCCAGTGGCCACGGCCAAATGGTATACCACACGGGGCCCTCGAAGCCTCCTGAAGGCCCCGTGCTGTCGGTTCCCCCAAATGTCACTGTAGCTGGCTCAGTGATTCCTGTAACAGGGGGCCGAGGCCTGCCCCTGCCCGCACAGTCCAACCTCCCCTCCATCCAGAGCATCATCTACCAGATTAACCAGCATTGCCAGGCCCAGGCTCTGCAGCAGGTGTGCCAGGGGGCCGCCGCACCGTCTAACTCTAGCCCCTCCAAGCACGGCACAACTGTCATGGGGGTCTCTTCAAGCTCCTCAGGTGGAAGCTACGTGGTGGGAATGGGTCCCCAGTCTAACATGCTGTACACAGGGCCCGGGCTGCCTGCTCAGAATGCAGAGGCGATGAAGACGGGCATGTACGCAGATGGTATGGACTACATCCTCTGGCAGAAGCATCAGCAACAACAACAACAACAACAACAACAGCAACAACAACAACAACAACATCAACATCAACATCATCAGCATCAACAGGCTGTGCTCCGTATGTACAGCGGAGGGAGCGGTGGAGGGGGCGCCATCAGCAAGTCCCCCGAAACTTGTGTTCCAGGGGGAGGGATTATGGGGCCGCAAATGTCCTCCTCTTCCTCCAGACCTTACCACCTGACAGCCAGCGGCGGAGGCGGGATGGACAAAGTTAGCTCCTCCCCTTTGAACTGCGTGGGTATGCATGGTAATTTCTCAGTGGGTCAATACTTTGCTCCGCCGTGGAACAGTGTGCTGGTGACACCTGACAGTGACTGCTATAACCCCCAGGAGCTTTTGGCTAACTCTGCAGGAGGGCCGGTCACAGGGCATAGAGAGATGGGCTACCCCCACCACCATCACCACTACCATCATCCTCACCACCCTGCTATAGACAGCGGGGGAGGTATGTGCTGCAGCCTGCCCAGTAAGAGCATGTGCAACACATCGGTGCTGAGCAGCAGCTTACAGTCTCTGGAGTACCTGATCAACGACATCCACCCACCCTGCATCAAGGAGCAGATGCTTGGCAAAGGCTATGAGACTGTGTCAGTGCCACGTCTGTTAGACCACCAGCATGCACACATCCGCCTCCCTGTTTACAGATAGAGGGGCACGTTGAAGAGGAGGAAGAGAATCAAGAATTGTGAACTTTTGAAGAAAATCAAAGTTAAAGAACCAATATGTTTTGTTTTCTGGGTAGAGATTATTAAGAGTGGCACTGCTTTAACTAGTGTGGGAGCTTAGAGAAGAGCAGTTGTTGTGCTGTGCGACCATTTGGTTTGGTGGTTTACAGGCAGACTGTGGGAGTCCCCAATATGAAAGTTGGTGGTGATTTGGGAGAGAAAAAGGGATTTCAAGATTCTCCAGATGTTCCATTGTGTGGTTTGCCAATAGGAATTTTGGGTTGATTTATTATATTATTTGTATTCAGTTTTTTTGATGTTGTTTTACTTGCCTGAACTTTTTGATGAGAATCATAGCTTGACATGAAGTGCTTACGTCACTTGTATCCCCCTTCCAAATACTAAGGATGAAGCTACTGTGTAGGTTGTCACTGAAAGGGTCTTAAGGACCAACGTTTAGGGCTGCTTTCAAAATCCAAAACTCTGTAACGGTACACACAGATACACACATACATAAACACAATGTACTGATAAGTGAGGGGTCTCAAATTATACTCGGGTGTGTATGTAAAAGGATCATAAGGTTGAATTAAAAGGATAGTACAATATTAGTTATTATTGCTGTTATAATTGATTCATAAATTGCACTGCTTGAATCTTATTGACTTTGAAGTTTGAAATTCGGTAGTTTGGTTATGATATATTTAAGAAACTTGAAAACTTGAACCTATTTTTTGTTGTTTTATATATTTGTAGGTATATTATATGCATTGGCTGCTATGGGGAAAGTGTCTCAAATGCTTTTTTTCTTCTTTTTTTTCCACTTTTGATTTTATGATAATTCCTCCACAAGCTGATGTGCAGTCTCTTATGTCCTGGTGTAAGGCAAAGCCACTGCTTTGGTTCTTTAAGGACCTGGTCGAACCTGGAGAGCTCTTTTTCCTAACCAACACTGGAATCTACAAAAAATCTTGAAACATTTATTTAAAAAAGAAAATGTCGCAAAAAACATGAAAAAGAAATGTTACCATGAAGAATGTGATTGGGAGGTTATTGACATAACCTTATGTGTATGTTTATGCGTGTATGTTGCTGAGTGCATGCGCGTGTGTGCATTTTAGTTTGTGTTCTTCAAAATCCTCAGACTTTGTTTATTTTTATTGTGTTCTTATAAGATTTCTACCACCAAGACTGAAAAACTGATTCCCATAAACATCATATCTGAGTAATGTACAGGAAATATTTAGCAGATCTCGCTCTCTTTTATCGAAGGCTTTAGGTATTCTCTGGAGTTAGAGTAGAGATCAAGTTCTCACATGACTCCTAATAGGAGTTACTGTGCTAAATACTTTTGTCAAATGTTATCAGAAATGACAGAAAGAGGTGGGAACAAATGGAAGTCCTATGTTGGGGGTAATATTCACCCCTGAACCTACAAACAAATACAAAATGGAAACAATCATGCACTCTGGCATCACGGGAAATGAGAAGAGGCTCACTGCTTCCCCTTGTCCTTTTTAGACCCTGGTTGTGATACATTTAGCCAGGGCCAGTCTTAACTTGATGATTCAGAGCAGTGAAATATTTATTATGACTGTGAGATTCCCTTGAATGTACTGCACTTAAATTACTGCGATGTTTTATTGCCTTGTGGGACTCAAGCGAAAGAGAAAAATTGGATCAGTGCAGCAGTCCTCTGGTCTTAAATTAGCATTTCTTTTGTCCATCAAATTTCAATGGTAAATTGAATTTAGTAACTGGAGAGAGGGAGCCGGAGCTTTGTTGTGAGGAAAATACTGGCATCAGTCTAGATTTATGAAGTGCAATTATTATGACTGTATTAACATTTTTCTCTGAGCTTACACCAAAAAATGTAAACTACAGTTGTCAATACATTCCCAATGTACCACATCCCTAATCCCTATCCTTTTTTCTGTTTTGAGGTGTAAAATAAATTTCTTTAAGAATATATTCAGAAGCCACATCCTGGCATTGAAGTCTGTCATTTTTTAATGTATGTCCTCTAGACGTCAGTGTGAAATTGGGCCCTTGTGTCCGCAGCAGCTCTCTGAGATCCAGAGCAGACGTGGTGTGTGATGTAGATCCTTTAATGTGCTGTAGCGATTAAACCTCTGTCATTAAAAACTATATTTCATTATTCATATTTTAAATGTTTACACTTTGGTCATCCAAGGAAAAGGACAGACAGAATTGTTCAACAAATAATGGATTTACACATAAATATTAACTCGAAGCATCAAAATAGTGACATTAACATTAACATTTATAAACAGACCTGTTTTTCCCTTAAAATAACTCTCGCTTAATCCTAACTATGAGCCTTAAATGTTGATCCAATTGTGTTTGTAGACACGCCACTGTCTTTGAAAGCTGACAAAGATTTTAGTGGAAATAATACCAAGCCCCTTGGCTTAAATGTGCACAGTAAGCCTCCTTAACATTCCAGTGAAAATGTTTCATGTTGTTTCAACAGCTTAATACCCCAGCCACACTGTGATTCTAGCATATTTTTTGTCTTGTAGAAATATTGTGACAGATTTACAGATACATCCCGTTACTAAATCCCCTCCGTTTGGCTCCTGCATCCATGCATTAAACCCTGTCACATGATGTGGAAGTGGAGAGGAGACACTTGAGGCAGTGGAGCTTCTGGTGTCTGGCCTTTCCCACCAGTGGAGGTCTGAGGCACCAGGCCCCTCTGCTAATGGGAATATTGGGTGACGCCTGGCTGCTGGACACTGCCAATAGAGAGTATTCATTCACTCAAAGGGTTGAAATAAAACCCTTTTCAAATAACAAGGGATTTCCTATTAGGCACTGCAAGGAATCTGGCCATTTTAAGCCCATTAGAATGCAACAGAAAAAAGACGACTCCTAAGAAACCAATTCAATTTATATTTCAGCAGAAACATAATAGTCAATTTGCACGTATAACATATAGGGCTGCCATTTAAATACTTGAACCATCTTTGCTTTGTGGCAACATGTTTTACTGTACTGGCTCCAAACTGTCTGTCCCCCTGGTCCTTTACACACATTAATGAGCTCCTATTGATGGGATGCATCTTAGCCCTGCAACTGTGCTCCATTCCACAATTCCTGATTTGGACAATGGACGCTTAGCCCATATTAGGATAATAGAATTACATTTCAAATAGATTTTTGCCTGAGCTGATCCATGCACGGCTCACTCAGCTGCAGAGGCAGAGTGGCATATGGCATGTCATTATCTAAGCCCACCCTCCCCCTGTCCGGGGCCAACAGGGTTCAGCAGTGCTTAAACAAACTGAAGGTTAGGACTGGCTGGCTGGCGTTGAAGGGGAGGACAGCAGGGTTTTAAGGGGGGGTGGGGGGGCTAAATCACAGCCTCCGCAGCGTCTCGGAGGGCCTCAGCGCCGCACCATGGCGCCTGTGCTCAGAGGCCTGCTTTAAAAAGCTGGGCTGTGTTTGATCGAGGGGATTTGTTTTCTGTTGGATTATACATGGTTGCTCCCTGCCTGGCTGAGGGGCCCTGTGCGATGTGACAGATCTCAGCAAAAGAAAGAAAGAGGGAGAGAGATACAGGGAGGGATTTGGGGTCAGAGGAGCCTCGAAGCATCAGTAATCAGGATAATTGCCATGTTCCTGGTGCTGGTTTCATCCGCCCCTCCTCAGCTCTGCGGCCTCATATTCAGATTCAACCTCTGAGGAATCACATGCCTCCCTGTAAGACTTATTGTGCCTACATTTTTATTTGTAATTCAGTTTTTAATGCTTGGAATAAAAAATGTAGAGTTACGTTGCCCAGGAAATGATAGATTACTCAAATCAGACATCATCTGGTGAGGACATTTAGATCTATAACTTATCTGTGTGGCTACAGACTATCGACTGTTAACACGCTTTCAAGGGCAATGAGACGCCTGCGCGAAAGGCCTGAGGGCAAAGTGGAGGGGAATTGACTTATGCTGGTTGTAAAAATCCCTTAGTAAATCCCAATAAGTCCATGATAGATGATAGACCTTTACCCAGTGCAAAGGTCTAGTCGCATATTATGCACCTTAAATACTGCTGAGCAGGAGAGACAGCGTTCAGAGCAGGGTCAGCTCTTTCAGTCTCACAACAGACGGGACGGGAGGGTGGGGAGGGATATAGAAAATAAAGGCAGCTGCTCGCTCCGTAGAGTCTTGGCGCTGCTTCTCTAACCTACAGATGACAGAGGGGGGGGTTGATGTCCCCACCGCACCGCTTTGGTCATCCTCAGTCGTGTCCCCTGGCTGCCCTTGGGCCCCTGGGGCTCTCATCTCACAGTCCTTCCCAGCATCCCTCCCTAGCGTCTGCAGAAGATAAAGTCATTGGCTCCTACCTAGCAAGAAAATACTTTAATCAATACTGTAGACAGTCCTGAAGAGGCTTGTATAGTTGGCACCAGCCTTATAGCTGTGTTGCACAATATCAAAATATGTGTTTGTGTTTCGCTACAGATTTACAGCACATTGCCATCTCTTTTTGTGCTAGTGAATAAAACTGAACGGGCTGTGTGTGAGTAAACAAATTCATGTTTTAAAAAGGTAAAAATTCAGCACAGGTCACAAAATAAATCAGGATATTTCTTCAAAGGCACAGACCCACAGCCGTTTTCTAAAAGGCGATGCAGCAGGTTGTAATTCCAGGAGTTTACAGCTTTTTATTTCTTCAGCGTCACAACTATGTATGTTCAGCTGAAAAAGCGTATGGCCTCCATATTCATCTAGTTTATGTGCTGGATATATTGCTGTATCCAATCCAAACACAAAAGTCTGGGGATTTTGCTTTTTTTCTTCCTGTTTCCTTTTACTGTTTGTGTGGCTCTCAGAATGTTCCTGTGGACAAACAGGGCTGTTTTTCCCAAATTATCTCAAATGCACCAACGCTGCCAAAGTCTGAGGGTGCCGCAACCTTGAGAAAATAATATATATGGAAATGGGAAATCTTATTGTTCTCCCTGCAGTGTTGTATTTCTGTTTAAAAAATGATTTTGTCTCCTCAGGATGAAAAAATGTAAAGAATACCTTACTTTCTTTTGGATAATGATAATATATGAGTCTTAGATTTCGAAAGAAGAAGTCTGAATATTAAAAAAGCTGTAAAATCCTTTCGTTGTGGGGTTTTCAACTTTTGAATGTGCCTACAGCCAAGCATCCCAGTGATTGCTTACCTTACCCTCTCTCCAGTTCTGCAATCTCCCCCTAATCTCCCCACAACCATCATCTTCAATTTGCTCAAACTGCCACTGTCTCCCCTCCCTCCCTTCCTCCCTCCCAACAACCACAGTAGATATTTTGCTGTTCCCTGCTTTTTGTCAATCTCAGGACGGAAATTTCTTTATATCAATGTAGATGGTTGTTTTTCATTTGAACTCTCCTCTCTTATGTATTATTGTTTGACATAAGTAAATAAAGCAGATGACTTCTACGCCTGTCTTGTTGCTATAACCATCCATTGTCTTTACTTCTTCTCTCTCGTGCCGTAAACATCTTCGTAACAATTTTTAAGACTACCAGTAATGCAGGTAAGCATATAAGTCTTAGGATTCACTTTGCACATGCACTGCCATATGCCGGGCTCGACAATCCTGTTGTTCACTTGACCTTTTCCACCTTTACAGCAGAGTATTGTGGCATCACTAAGTATGCTGGAAAACAACCCACAGACTGCACTGCACGGATGATTGACATTTTTCCTGGATGAGGATTTGGAGAAACTGCTCTTAAGCAGAGGCAAAGGCTAGCTAAGTATCTAATGCAATTTAGTGACCAAGACAAGATGTCCTTTTCTGAGGCCTGGACAATTGAGTCATAAAATAAGGGAATATTAGCTGTCTCAAAAAACGTTTATCTAAACCTATTTTGTTACCAAAGAAAAGGACAGCCACTGATATTTGTTATACTCCGAAAGTTCCCTGTGATTTCTTTCCGCATTTTATTTAAATTTGATCATTAGCAGTCTATATTTCAATGTCAAGCTATTAGAAATGCTTTGTACTTTTTGTATTTTTCCTTAAGATTTCATAAACTCACTACAAATGTACTTCCAGAAGATATGGTACACCATGTAGTGTTGCATTCTGATATTTAGCCTCACAAGTAGCTTCAAGAGCTGAAAAGTGATGCTTTTTCCTCCTTTCTCTCCTTACTCCCAACCTCTCCACCCACCTGAAACATCAGATAAGCTGCAGACTGATGAGCCGGTCGCCTCCACCAGAGCGTGTGGTAGTGGGAGACTGCACACTGATTTCATACACGCTCGCTCAGACAGAAAAAGAGCTCTGTGGAGCAGAAATGCTTCTCTTATTAGCAAAACTCATTCACCTGCACGCCACATTGAGTCCCTGGCAATTTCACAATAAATCATGAGAGATGTCTATGGAGGCCGGGCAGCAGGCTGATGCTGAGCCGTGGCCGTGCCCTCGCCTGTCAGTTTAGACACTGAATCATTTCAGGTTCAGCAGCCTCATTTCATCTGAGATGAACTGAAAGGTCATCTCACACGCTACCTAACAAATATGTCCGTCTCCTCATCTCCCACGCCTTGGTGAGATATTTCACTGGATATTATACAGGGAATTATTATAAGAAAGGAAATTAGCACCCATTGAATCTATGTGGAACCTGCTTTTAGTTTATTGACCCTGTTTTTCAGTTGTTATCCGTCCATCTTTTTTGGATATTAGTGAAATATTTAGTAAGAGTGTGACCAATATATAGGATGTTTCCCTCTGTGTCCAGCTGCTGGACCTCAGGCAGACAACACATTGAATCCATCAGACAGTCTGAAGCGTTAGTTAGTGAATGAAGAACGAGTTGGCCGAAGTCCAGTCTGGTATCTGCTTGAGACTCATCAGCCTTAACATCTTAAAGCTTACCTGGCTGGACAATAGCTGAACAATTTGTACTGCCAATATCTAAGCTAGTTAGTTTACTAAGGACCTTTGGCTGAGTCTGTCAACTTTCCCCCATGTGTGGTTGCTAACTGAGGGCCGTTAGTTACAACATGATCCTGCTTGGCTGTCAATTTGGTTTGTTGAGACACATTTGTGGCAGCGAGCACACACATGCTGCAAGCAAGTGAGCCATTTTGTTAACAGCTCACACTTCCTGTTCAAGTGTGCGGTTCCAGAGTTGCTGACAGTGACACTTGCAGGACCGAGCCCTGCCCTACTTAGCAGGCTGCGGGGAGGAGGGCAGGCCAAGTTGTCAGCAGCGCTAGGTGCTCACTGCTTAGATAAACCTGGAGGATTAGTGGCCCAGTTAAAGTTGGGGTAAAGAGGATTAGCCTCTTCTCTGAGGTGGTGAGAGATTCCCTGTGTCCTTCAGCACTGCTGGCCTCAGACAGGGGAGAGAGGAGGAGGAGGATGAGAGGTGAGAGCCTGGTTATCATAAGTGAGAATCACCACTGTAGCGTTTTAAAAGGGAAAAGAAAGGTGAGGGGTAATGATGAAAGGTGAAAAGCAGTGAAACAGTTCATAAATTGTTGCCAGCTTGTGGTTTCATTAGGAAGGAAAAAGCCCATAATTACTGGCCAGGTGTAACAGCGAGGTCAATGAGACCTGAGATCCACTGCGAAAAGGCATTTCTTCAGTGCATTCCACAAACTATAGCCTATTAAAGGTTATAGTGCTAATAACAGTTAGCACTGACAATGTAATATTTACAGCTATAATTACAGAATATATGTGCCCTACAGTTTCTGCAGGAGTAGACTCAGCTAACAGGGATCTCCACATGCAGCACAGACAGGAGTTCAGCCCTCTGCAGCCATCAGCAGGCCAGAGGAGGTACTGCAAGTAATTATTACTACAGGACTCAAAATCCTGTAGTGACTGTTTGAGAATAAAGTGTAATGTGTAGTCAAATGTATGTGCATTTTGTAAAAAATATAATAAAAATCAATAACACATATTATAGACGAACAAAAACTTCTGAGAAAGATTATATAAATGTGTGGCCACAACAATTTGAAAATACAGTAATATAACATTTCATTTTTTAAGCAACAATTAGAACAATTTTGTGTCAACATTGATACAAACCTAAATGTATATATTTAAAGGTTTGTGAAACAATAGTTTTTCTTGGTAAAAATACAAATGCAAACACATTACAAAAACACAATTAAAAAATATTCCTTTCTTGCTTTCTTTTTGTGGCTATTGTTATTAGTCTTTTCCCGAATGTATTTAATCTTTCCTCACAATTTCATACAGTTCATTGGATCATATATATATATATATATTGCTGGTGCTCGTTAGTAGCAACTATACTAGGATAAATCAAATCAATCATTTATCGTGAGTAGGGATTGCAAAAAATCTTTAGAAAAAAAAGGTCATAGTTTTATACAAGAATGGGAAGACGGACTACTGTGTGGTTCATAAAATAAATTCAGTGTTTATTGTTCTGTGCAGCAATACATAAAAAAATGCGTAGACATGTCTCTTTCCAAAAACAATGTAAACATAGTGAACAATGACCTGTGACCCTCAACAGTAATGAATTAGTGAAAATGTATGGGATGGTGTATCTGCTCTTAATCAAACCCTGTCATGAAGAACAAAAACACAAATATGTGTATACAAGCATTAGTTGCGCATAAACAAGATGCTCTATAAGGCAAGGAGCCAATCGCAATGAAAACACTGCAGCAAATAGAGGGAAGCACATAATGGTAAGGCCTGAGAGTTGATTATGCAAATACCCCAGCTGCAAAGGAACAATAACTCTGGATATTCAAAGACAACCCATAACACGGGAGGCTATTGTCTTGCATTTGCATATGTGCTTGACAACTATAACCTGCTCATCATGCCCATCTTGTTCAGAACAATGTCTTTGTGTTCATATAATAATGCACACATTAGAAATTGGCATTGTGCATTGTCTCAGTTCAAATGAAAGCTGCACTGCCTGAGCCTGAGACTTTGTAACTATTTGATTAATAGGGTATACAAATTGGGGAGAAAATACACTTTGTATAAAACATATATACTGTTGCTATGCACTTAACTACCATAGCCTGAACAATACAAATTAACATATACAATATAATCTTTATGATACATCATACAAGGACCTCTTAAATATATAGCAAGCAGAATCTGTCTATAAGTCTTTAAGCATTTTTCAGGTAGAAATATCTCTCATTGGGATTTTATCAGTAGATGACATTTCTATCAAATCCTTTGTTTACACTTCTGAGAAAATAATGCAGAGATTATGCTTCTGTTAAATCATATCAAACCCATCTTTCTATATTCTGTGACATTATATTACTACTGGAAATATGTTTGATTCTCTTGAATCCCTGAGTGATCAGCCACTGATGTCTGAACTACAGAGGCACAGTACATTTTTACAATATGTTTTTCTATCTTTTATGATAAATAAAAAGCAGGATATAGCTCTCTGTGTCCTTAATGCTGAATTGTCTTCATTCTTTTATCTCAGCTTTGGTGTTTTACCTGTATTTGGTGTTTTCCAGATCAGTGATTCTCTAAGCCATTACAAATCCAGTGTCTTTGTGTGATCAGTCCTATCACCCTGATTACATTAATATATTTGTAATACTTTCTTTTCAACAAAAGGCACATGAAATCTGGCTAATGAGTCCACCTATTGATCAAATGGTTCCCTCTCACTGGTGCTGATGGCTCTCTGCTGTCTCTATTTTAAATAAAGACAGTCAGCCTCCTGCAGGCCTCAGTATCTGGGCGTCAGCGGCTCCATCTCCACCACCAGATCGCGAGGCCGTGGAGCCTTACTAAACTCCACTGCCCGCGGAACCACTGTGGACCAGCGGTCTAGAGGGGGATAAGAAGAAGGATTTTGGTTTGATCTGTATGAATAAGTTAGTGTGCGCTCCACATGAATATATACTTATTTGTCAATGCATTTATTCATGAGAGCACAGTGAAAATCTCACCTCTCCGCAAGGCTTTGACGCTCTGCTGCAACCCATTGGCTTGGCAGGTCTCATTCTTGCCTGGATCCTCGTTGATTATTGCCAGGTTCTGATTCCAGTGGCACCAATTCACCTCATCCACCCTGATAAAAACAAGACAACATTCGGTTGAACAGTTTCCTTTAATGTGCTATAGGCGCTGCTGAGTGAGTGTGATATGAGTCATCATGCATTATACCTGAAGCACCAGCGTCGATCAGGTGTGCCGTCCCAGTTTTTCCCAACAGTCACCATCTCCCCGGCTCGAAAAGACTTGCGAAGGCAGACTGGGAAAGAGCGCTCGATGTCCAATATGGTTGTTGCCCACTGTGAGTATGGGTCATGATTAGTAAGGGTATCTAAGACACTCAAAAATCTAAAATATGTTTTATTACTCAACTCCTGGTAACTAGTAATGCAGATGGATTTTGAATTTTGTATTATCAATTGTGATATATCGTTTTTTAGGGTTAGGGTTATTTCTGCCTTCACTGAAAAACTGGAAAAGTGAAAAGAAATGGTTCATCTTAAACCTGTAAACATCACCGTGTTAACATACTGGTGTTACAGTTCAGCCTTACGGAGCAGCACGGATGGTAATAATGTGTTGGAGTGGACGCAGAATTCTCAGAGATAAATACTTTACAACCCTCCAAAAATAAACCAACACTTTAGCATGGAGAGTTAAAAAGATGTACATGTTTTCGTGAAACTGACTCTTTAATTAATGCCTAAAACAAATATGTACTCGTTGCTCACCTGAAGCTTCCAGATCTTCTTGCTCTGTTTGGACACCTGTGACACTGTCTCCCCCATCAAAGCGATCAACATGTTAAGCAGCAGGACAAACGTGAGGATGATGTAGGTAACCAACAGGATGAGAAAGACTGCAGGATACTGCGCACTGTGAATCATGTCCAGTTCTCCCATCCCAATGGTCAGCTTAAAGAGGTCCAGCAGGAAAGCGCTGAAGGTGTCTTGGTCCCTGCAGTCGGGGTAGGTGGGGCAGCCCCCCTCACACTCTGTCCCCGGGGGAGGACACACCGTCAGCAGGGCCACCAGGGCTGAGGGAACAGAGGAGCTGGGTTATGTGTCTGTCCAACATTTTGGGAGAGACACATATTATTATTATTATGAACAAGGACCATGCATAAAGATACTATATAGATAGAGATGCTATATGCCAGATTATAGCTAAAAGCTCATTTCCATCTGCAGTCCCTGGACATGAAATATTTGTAATGTTTGTTGATTGTCATAATCAACAAACATTACAAATATTTCATAATGCCTTTCACATAGATCAAATACAGATGTATACAATATAAATACAAGTACATTTGAGGAGATAGCACTCTTTTCTTTCTGTTTAATATGATGCTACATCCAGGAGACATTTAGCTTAGCTAAACTGCAAACACCATGCTGGCTGTATGCTCTAAGCTAAGCTCAATGGCTCCTGGCTGTAGCTTTATATTTATAATGTTAGTGGACATCAATTAGAGTATTAGTGCTATCTCTCCTTTCCGAGAATATTAAACTATCCCATTTCAGCAATGCTGATCTCTAAAGTTAGGTGACCAATCCTACCTGATGCATAACCAATCATGAAGAGCACGTATACCAGCAGGAATCTGAAAAGGTCTTTGAAAAGAATCTGTGAACCAAAAATAAAATCAGCATTAAGACACATGGAAATTATGATTATCAAGAGAACAGACGGAACGTTGTCACTCAATTATTGCTGAATTTCCACAGCAATGGTGAAATGTAAGGTTAATTCATTTTCATTTGCTAACTTTTTCCTTTAGCTAACCTTCTGGATCATGATGCTGTAGGTGCCAGTGAGCTTCAGGCCTCTGGTGAAGTAAAGCGTGTTCATCCAGCCAAGGACAAGTGCAAACACCATCACAGCCACATAGGCCTTAATGCCAGAGAGGTAGAGAGCAGCTGTGACTACAATCAGCACCGAGTAGATGAAGCTAGAGGGGACAGAGGAAGAGTTTGTCTTGAACCAACTCCAATGGTGAAATCTGTGATACTGAATGAATTACTGAAGACGGGAATATGTGTTAAAAGATTAAAGATTGTTAACAGAATAAAGGCAGCCATATTGCTATTAATGTACATCAACACAGTTCATAGAGGGGCTCAATACTCTCTACTCTTTGTTTGGATCATTAAATATGTAAACTGTGAAACATGCCAGGTTATGAGGTTAAGAAATTAATTCCTTACTCAATTTAGAGATTGCAAAATGTGCCTTGAGTAAAAGTCAGCAAAATCTGTGCTCGAGGGGAAGAAGAGAAGGAGCAAGGACAGAGGATGGAGACTTACTACAGCAGTTGAAAAGATCCATCCATAAATAAAGACTTCACCCCAGGGCACTTCTTCAAAAAGAGGTCCTTAATCTGCAAAGAGCAGGAGAGACATTTCCATAATGACACCGACATCTTTTACAGGTTTGAGTTTGATGCAAGAGACTTGGAGACATTAGTGAGCAACAAATGATCAAACCAGAGAGGCATCAGAGCAAATTGACTCACGTTGGTGAGGAAGAAGAATATTCCTGATGCCAAGGTGATGATCTCCCCCGCCATGCGCAGGTAGTCAGAGGATTTTGTGTAAGGGTATGGAGGCTGGAAGGAAAGGAGGAGGAGACATTTAGATATAGTCAATATAAACATTATAGCGTTAAAACATATTAAAGTACACCATATCAGTTTATAATGGTGAGTTCAAGAATGAGTTCAACATTTTGGGAACGACGCCTATTTACGGTCTTGCCGAGACTTAGATGAAAAGATTGTCAATAAGGGCTATGTGAATTAAGAACAATGCATAGGATGATCACGTAACCCCCCATTAAAAATAACTGTGTGCATATGTGTAAAGAAAAGGTTAAACAAATAAGATATCATATGTTAACAAGAGAAACCTCGACAGAACAATGCTAGCTGTTTTAAGCTCAGATAGGCAGCTGAGGGCTGTAGATTCATATGTATGTATAGATATGCAAGCTGTATCAATCTTCTATTTACTTTCGGGCAAGAAAGCAGATGAAAGTAACTCAAAACATTGAAACATTCATTTAATACAAAATTGTTAACATTGAGAATGCACGTGTTCTGCTCTGTTACATAAACACTTAGAAAAACACTTTGAAGCTATCAGATGTAGCCTACAACAAATGTGGTCTTCAGATAAATCATACATACAGTACAGGCTACTGTATATACATATTGACTAAATGAGAAAGAAATAGCATTTATGGTCAAATAAAATGTGTTCACGTGGCATCCTGACAATTCGATACTGCATGGTCATATTTAAATTTCAGATCAATCTGCTGCTATGAGATCTGATGTGGAAACATTTTCACACCCACCTCTCCCTGTGAAGGTTGGTAATAAGCCACTATGGTGAAGATGATCATGGTGATGAGGTAGGAAACCACGCTGATGTAAAAGGTGACGGCACCGAACTTCTGCCATTTGGCCCTCAGCAGCTCGTTGATGGGCTCCACTGCCAGCATCTCATGGCGGTTCTGACAAGAATACCAGAAATAAACATTGATATAATGTACTGGAAATAAAATAATAAACACAATCTTTTATCGCACAGCAGTTTTATGTTAAATGTGTCATGCTAGGTGTCTTGTTGCTCTTAATGCTATGATCTTGAGAGACACTGTGCTGTTTCTTTTCATAGTTTGATTGAATTAATAAACCTCTTATTCACCTCATTGCGGCTGTTGTAGACCAGGATTTCCAGCACAGACGGTTCCTCTCCACATGTGTCCAGTGAAGACAGATCATAGAGGGAGGAATACACTGGTCCATAGGCCCAGTCCTTAAACTTCCGTGACAGATGACGAACTTCCTCATCTTTGATTTCCCGTCTGATAATGTGCTGAAAAACCTGGAGGAATATGGAGAAAATGACCTACTGAGCTTTCACCTAACAACATTATGACCTGTGGTGATGTGCTCCACATTTCTCTTATTATAATGATGCTGCTTCACACACTGCTGTATCATTATCCCTACCCCGATCTTGCCCAGCTTGGCGGCCATCATGAGGGGTGACATGCCATCGTTGTTAAACACCGTCTCCAGGCTGCAGTCTGGGTAGAGTTTGGCGCTCTTGATTAGCAGCAGGTCATACATCTTTGTGAGGAAACGTGTGTTGTCCTTGGTGTTGTCCGCAATGTGCACTAGGGCGTGCAGCACTGTGTTTCCACGTGAGTCCTGGCGCCGCAGGTCGGCCTTTTTGTGTGGATTCTCAGTCAGGTAGTGCACTATGTCAGGCTGGTTAGTGCATGCAGCCAGTGAGAGAGGCAGCTCACCTAGGAAAACAGACACAGAGATATAACTTCATACTGAATTTACAGGAGATTAAATGAATTGTATTTCAGATTTAAAAAAGGCAAATCAACAGGAGGGTTAATTAAGAACTGTAGCTGGCCTCTGCATGTTTTTGCAAAGCTTACTAAACTTGGATCAAAGATTTGACTTAAATCCCCGCTATGAAAACAGCACAATTAGCAGTTGTTTGAGGGCGGGGCTCAATGGGGCCAGAGTGCCAAAAGCAGCTGCTGAAAATGAGCCGTTGCCATGGGTGACAGATTACTTTGTCACCTCACATAGAAACGCTCCTCTTCATGGATTTGCACGGGTGCATGCAGAGTGTTAGCGTGAGTCTAAATCCCATTAGCCATCAGCACTGCCAGGTTCCTGTTCACCTCAGTGCAAAGCTCCGCAGCAAATTACTCACACTGCGCCCGGACACGCTGGGATTTGGGAATGACAACCGTGCTAAGTGCAAATAGAAATCATGTCCTCTGTGATGATTGAGAAATATAATGCATGAATGTAATCAAATAAACAATTTTTAAAATGGGGTTAGGTACAAATATTAAACAGAGTCCCCAACAAGCTACCTTTCTTTCAGTGATGTTGAAGACTAACATCAACATCAATTATACCTTCAATTATTATCTTCAGAAGGCTTTAAAGGAAATAGTGTTATTAATATAACACATAGTTATGTCGTAAGTTGTGCCCTAACAGACACCACAAAGGGCAGTGTTGACTTTACAGGTATGATGTATTTTCCTCTCTTACTGTTAGAGCCAGAGGAGGTTTACTTTTCCTCATGGCAGCACACTTGACACCTTTCATTGGACAATCTCCTATGACATAATGCTTGTCTTTTCATGTGTTTTTGGAGCGCCTATGATGACAGTTTCTCGTACGATACTTCAGAAAACATTTGCCTATGAGGTGGCCTTCACCTCTGGACCACAGCAGTATCCTGACTGTGTTTGCTCGGCCAACTTTCTGCCACGTTAAAGGAAAAAGGGTGGGGTATCATGTCACCTCATTTGGCTAGTTTTCTTTACCAGGAACATGTACCAGCAATTTTCCTCTTGGCAGCTGCTATGAGGCAACTCTGTATCTTAGAAGACAGAATACCACTTGTGAGTGAAGCGGGAACTCAGAGCCAGGAAGGAAACTAAAAGAGTGACAAGTGAAGTCATAGAAACCACATCCACACAACATCATTACTACCATATGAAAAGAAAAGGCAGAAAACAGATAAACAGTTTTCTAGTTGTCTCCCTATAAACGTTTGTCTATAGTGTTTTGTCACATAAAGATGGAGTAAAAGGTCTGCGGAAAGGGGAATAACAGAAGCTGAATAAAGTCTTTAGTTTCCACATTAGATTTATGAGCTGCAAAGGTCGTTACCGAAGTAGAAGTAGCCCCCCTCGTCTCTGGGCTGGAAAAAGCGTCCCCTCGCCTGGGCATGGACATCAGCGTCCTGCTCCACCAGCAGCTCCACATACTGCTTAGAGCGCCGCTCTATAGCGATGTGGAGCGCTGTCTGACCTGAAAAATACAATTATAAAGAAACACTTTAAATATCATTAGTTTTCCAAAGTGATGTTTTGTGTGCTGTTTTCAATAGAATACATATCAGTGAAAAGAATCCATTTTCGCAGAAGTAGTTAAGAAAATGACATGTTGAAAGTAATTCTGTAAGCATTATAAAAGAGAAAGGGGGGCCTCTGATGACCAATCATAGGCTTGAGCGTTGAGGTCATCAAAGAAACTCGCTAAGAGCCATGAGAGGTTAGAGCTATTTATGAGCAGTCATACTTATGTAGAACGTATTACGTATGCTATCATAAAAATCTAATGAAAATTACAGAATGTAGGGCTAATCTAAATCAGGAAAAAGAGAGACACCATAACATGTGTGAAAAAGCTGTTTTTAAAACCTATTTTTTTAAAGGTGAAAAGTATTTCTTCACTGTTTGGTCAAAAATAATGTAAGGGATTTAAGCCAAACAAACGAGGCCTGAATCTTCTCATTATCATACAGAGCTGTAATAGTAGCTGTACATACACATACATAACGTAAATACAGTCCTTAGCTTTCCCCAGGGCCTCAACCTCCAGCCAGACAAGCTTCAATAACTCTCAGCTTCAGCTCAGTGGAAGATGAAGGGACCATCTTGTATAAAACTGTAGTCATTATTGGGTTGTGTCCATACCTCTGTAGTAGACGTCCCTGAAGGGCGTGTTGATGAACTCTCGGAGGTTTCCGGTCTTCTCTGCGATGTCCACCAGCAGAGGGATGGTGACGTTCTGCCCGTCGTAAAGGTTCAGCAGGGCTTTGGGCAGACATGTCTTACCTGTGGATGGCTCTGATGGAAAAATGAAATTAGAAACAAGAACAGATTTAGTTTAAGTGCACCTTTTCATTTTGTATAATTTCATTAACACTACCAATAATGTTTTATTAGAATGTATATAGTTTCAAATCATTCATATGAATGTCAGTGTCGCTTAGGTTGGTTTGGTTAAGTTTACATATGTTCTACTAATTGCAAAAGCAGCACATTTCAATCGATTTTTCTTTACTTGTATCTATTATTTCAATTGTTTATGAATTACATGTAACTAAAAAAAGCAGATTATTTATTCCTTTGCGTTTAAAGCTTTTTTAATTAATGTTTACACAATCTTTGCAACACTTATATTCAGGTATGGTCAGGTATTCAGCTGGCTGAATATAAGCTCTTAATAATAGAATCATTGCCATTTTTTAACTAATTCCACTATTCCACAATCTTTCCTCTGTTCCCCTGGAAATGACAGCAGTACTCGTGTGTGTTCCTGCTGGGAATATAGTAGTAGTGAATTATAATTTTGGGAAATGTCGTACGCAAATAATGAAATAGATCAAACTGTTAATGACAGAGGTCAAGAAAGCCCTTCACTATTTTTAGTTTCTTAGTTTCAAAAGAAGAAAAACAGTGTGCCCTGTTTAACTCCATGAAGGAGATGGCAGTTTGCTGTGATTTCTCTCTGCTGCTTGTTATAAGCCTGTAAAAAGTGCTTAGACACACAGGAAGCCTTCCTATAGGCCTGCCTCTAGCAGGACACAAACACAACTCCACCTTTTCCCTCTCATATCCTTTGAGCCAAAACAAGCAAAGAGGGGAGCAGGGGAACAAAAAAGGCCAAAGGTAGAAGTCGGCCCCAGATAAACTGAGTTTCTGTTGCCGAGCAAAGGCAGAATAAACATTCAAGACAGGGAATTTGGACAGAAACTGTGTCAAATGAATCTGTGTAAAAAAAACTGCCTCCTATCCAAACACAACTGTGTTGATTATGTGATGCAAGTGACAACCTACACATTTTAGACTCACCTTTAAACTCTTCATCAGTTAACCTCTTTTCCTGACTTTGCAGGTACTCCAAGAGGCCTTCAAGGGCCTCTGCGTCTGCGCGTGACACGCAGTCGAACAGGAGCGAGCGGTTGAATATTTTCATTACTCTCGGTGGGTCAGAGCTTTGAACATCATCACAGGTTGTCTCAGATTTACTGAGGAGAAACAAAAACAAGACATGTTTTCATACATTCATGGTAAAATGCATATAAGTTATTAAAACAAAATCGTTACTTGTCGTGTTTTTCATTTGAATCCATGGATTCTGATCACATGTCATTGATATAACATTTAGACTTGAATGGATGTTTAATGAACAACAAACCATCTATTAAGCAAAAATCCACACCCTTGAGTGTTCCAGAAGAAAGACCTCTTTGTTTATGGGACAGGTAGAGCAGCCCAAATATTACCTCAATGGCTGAAGAGAGACCAACAACATGCTCTCTGTTCGACCAGTGAATGGCCTGAATGTGTGTGTGTGTGAGGATGTGTGTGTGTGTGAGGATGTGTTTTTCTGTGTGTGTTTGTGTGTGTGTGTGCGTGCGTGCGCATACTTTCTTATGTGGCACACCTCTGTTTACAGAGTGGAATTGGTAGGAGTTTTTTCCTTTTTTATGATACCATTTTTCCAACCAGCTCTTTTCAGTCTAGTTTCACTAAGTCAGGAACCCCTAAACTATCAATTCTAAAAGGACACATATTATGACATTTGGGAAACACACCCTCTTGGGAGTTTCTTCCTGCGTCTCTTCTGGTTGCTGGTGTTCCTGTATGTCCCGTAGTCAAAGAGCGAGTCCATTGGTGCTTTCTTGGGGCCTTGCACCACATTTGAATCATATATGGTGGATTCCAATAGGTCCATATGGGTGGAAATGCCCTTTTTGAAAGCACCCTGGAACTTCATCCGCAGGTTCTGCCTGCTTTCTGCGGGCTGGCCGGGCTGAACCAGCTCCAGGGCTGAGTCCTGACTCGTGTCCTGACTCGTGTCCTGAGTTGACGGGGAACCGTCCCCGTTCTCAAACAGGTGGGAGAACTCAGACAGGGCGAGCGCTGCATCGCTCTCAGGCTTAGCGGCCCCGCCATCGCCTGTGTCCACAGAGAGGGCAGCTGGTGAGAGGGTGTCGGCCTTGGACAGGACGGGGTGGCACCTTCTAAAGAGAGCAGAGCGGCCCTGGAATAAACAAAATGTTCTGGGTGAGCTGCACCGCCTTAAAAAAAGACAAGAAATCTTGTACATATGGAAAAATAAGTCTTAAAGGTGCCGTTGGAGTTTCTTTGTTAACACACAAAAGTTATGTAGCCTATTCATTCAGTGTTACCAAGGCTAAAGCATTTGGACTCATGCAGGATTCAATAAACTAACTAGTTGTTATTCCACTTTTTTGGTACCCATTCATTTCTGGGACTCACCCATGTTTTCTTATTTGTATCTAATTTCTTAGGTTGGAGATTACTTAGTCGTATATGAGTAGTCAATATCTTACATTCCTTTCTTCTTCTTCCCTGCCTTTGCTGGCAAGTTACAGCACATCATTTTGCGAAATAATTGTATATCAAGTCACTTACCTTGTGAGATACAAAAGATAAACATAAGGAGAACCAAATAAACAATCCAAAAAACACAAGCCACTTTAAAGAGAGAAAAATGGGCCAACAAATTTGATTTAACTAAAATTGCATTGAGTCTACAATTATCAAATTATCAAATGAACCCCGCAAATCCCCGGAAGTTTACAATTTAAGGTAGACTAGACATTTGGCTTTCAACCCCACCGTACCTCATTCATCCCTTTTATCACAATGGTGTGCCAAATTCCTCTTCAGGGGAAACTGGAAAGGATGCTGAAGCATGTGGGCGTCCTGTAGAAACAAAAAGAGTCACCATCAACTGACACACGAGAGAGAAATATAAAATCTGTAGGTCCTGGGTGAAATAAAGGAGCTCTGACGTTTGGGGTTGGGATTTAAGGAAAAGGACAGGTCTGATGCCAACACTAATAACATGTCTCTGACTCCGGCCTCTCATTGGTCAGAAGTTACCGTTTCCTCTTGCAGGCAGAATCGCACCACCTGTATGTTTAACACCTCAATACGACTGCTTTTCTGCACACACGAACACACAGGTTACTGCTACATTATCCTATGTAGTCACAAGTTCCCCCTGAAGCTTCCTTACAAATCATATGCCTTCCTGGATTGTTCATGACATTGACAAGTTATCTAAGCCAGACTTTGCTGCAGAGGAGCAACACAAACAGGGCGCAGGGGTCCCACTAAGGGGGAGGAATGACTCACAACCCTTCCTGACACACAGGGATTATCATGCCTTTACACCTCAATGGGCATTTGATGGGAAAAATACAGAGGAACACAGAGAGTTAGTTATTAGGGGAAGATGTCAGGCAGAGAGGACCCGCTGAGTATTAAACCTGTCACAGTGATAAAATAGGATCATAAAATACAAAAAGAAAGAGGACCAAAAGCTCAGATCTTATCCACTTATTGGGTCAGAAAAGTGTACATCCTCTTGTAACTAAATGTGGGTGATGTAGCCTCACAGATATAAGACTTCCTGCCCAAAGTCACTGCTGCTGATGTGACACTATCCAGAGCCAGAGAGGCTGGACGCTCTGCCTGGAGCCTAATATATATATAATGGCTACTGGGAATAACAGTAACAACAAAAACAACTCATTCATACAGCGCTATTAGATTTGAAAGATCTCACCATTTATAAAAAAAAACACAAAAATTCATATGGATTAACTGGGCAAAAATATCAACTTAAAAGACATTTCTAGAACTGAGTATGAACACTGTGTTAAATAATAGAAACTTCTTTATAACTCATACACTAATACGACCTCAATCGTACTTTTCTGAAGGCATTTAATTAACAAAAGGGATCAGGAGTGTTACTTACCTTGATCTTATCTCTTGGTTTTATTTGGTAAACTAGTCCGAAGCTTTTTCCAAAAGTTTGAAACTTTATTTCTCCCTCTCAGTCTCGTGTAAGAGGCTCCTTTGCTGTCCTTGCGAGTTTAATGTGACACAAAACGCTTTGACTCCAACTAAATCACAGTTATTATCCCTCTGACTCGAGCGTCGGAGTGCCGGTAAAGTCCGCCAGAACAACGGATGCTTTCACAGGTTTTGGGTGGGACAAGTGACTGCTGCGTGCAGGGGCAGGGACCACCGCTGCAGTACCAGAGACGGCCGCTAGGCGCTTACTCAAACAAAACACTAAAGGTAACTCTGAGCCTCTCTCTTCATCCTGGAAAGTTGTTTCAGTCATGTCAGTTATCAGTCATGTCATGTCAAGACCTTTTGTTTTCAGCATTCATAACTTTTAAAGCGTTTGTATGGTAAAATATTAACTTCTTTCTACATGGTTGTGAGAAAGTATTATTTGTACTGCAAGACAAAGGTCCATCACATGAGTAAATGCAAAACATATGTTATTATAACGTAATATACTAGTAATAAACATTATTATGAGTACAAATCCAGCGTTCATGATTTTATATAAACATAAATTGTAATATTGTATTACTGGATTATTATTATTAGCAATGCAATCCAATAAAATGCATTAGAATTAGAACGTACGTTATCAGAATAGGAATTAGAATAAACATACGTATTTACGTATGGTATTTACTTTCCGCCATTGAAGATCTGAGCAGAGTTAATCAGTTAAAAAGATTGTGGAAAATTGTATAACTTCACCAAAAACTTAAGAAAATTACATAAATTATTAAATATTTTTTATTGTAAATTATAGTTTACATACATTGAAAATAAAAGGTTTGTTTTTTTGCATTATATATTTGCACTGCAACATAATCTCAGCCACAAGAGACATTAGCTGAGCATTTCAGCACATAAACTTAAAAGAATACTGACTAACGAAAGGACACCGACAAAACCTTAATTTGAGGTTGGATTGCTCTCAATTTGTCCCATTTGAAATGTAATGTGCTTCATCAAGCATTTCAATTCTGTCTAATCACTGTGTTGAAGGTAACACAGTTTTAATGCAACACTTTACATCACATTGACCGAAGAAGTTTAAAGAATATACACATTCAGTGTAATGTGAGAACCTGAGAGAAGAGGGGACAGAGTATTGCTTTATAGTTAGAATACATATGTACATCCTGCATAGCATGGAAGAAAGAGGCAGTAATAATTAACATCTGGTGCTTAATGAGCATGCCTGCTTTACACAAAGTGATACAGATACTTTTTTTAAGGCAGAAAAGGTCACTAAAGTGCTCTGTGGCTACATCTTAAGGCACAAGCATGTTTGAAAGAAACTGTTTATAACAGTATTCGTGCAGCATCTTGTAAAAAAGTTATCTTTTCAGAATAGGTGCCTGGAAAAAACAAATAACTTTGGACAATATAATGTTACATTTGTTGATTAAAAAATAATATGGACTTGTTGTAATAATAATCTGCAGCTGCTTATGGAGACAGAGTCAAACAACAATGAAGAATTCATAAAGAGAGAATCAGAACAGGAACACAGATGCTTAAAAGTGCACAGATATTTGATGTGTTTGAGTATTATTCATACACTCCAGAGGAGCTGAAGGGAGACATGAAGTCAAGATTTAGACTACAGGCTGCAGACTGTGAAAGGCTTTGTAAACTAAGACCAGTGGAGGGACTTCCTGCGGTCACATTGTGTAGTCAAGTTCAGCGTTCAGCTTAGTGTATATATCATAAATAGCATCAACAGTGGCAGTGAAGTTGACGAGGAACTTTCTGATTTTTTCCAAGCATTCCTCTTCCTTGACATCCCGACCCTTGGAAAGGGCCTTCATAAAATCTGTCTTATATGGAGAACCAAAAAGAACTGCCTGGAAGAGCAAATATAAAAATGTCACATACACAACTCCGTGCATTTTGTATGCTAATGTTACACAATTAAAACAGGCAAGGTCAAACATCAGCTCTCTTAAGCATGAACGCCTCATAAAAGACTCACCTTGAAGAGCTGCTGCACGAACCAGCCATGGTACCTTTTCAGGGCTATTTCATAGGCCTTGGCAACATTGACTCGAATGAGGTTTGGGTTGCTATCATCCTTTTCACCATCCACCAGGCTCTGTAGGAAGACTTGAATAAATCGTAGACCCCTGTCGATAAAAAAGACACGCACAGTGATTGGGTGCAGACTAAACGGTTACATGGTGGAGAGGAGGTTGTGTGGATGTTTGGGTCACCTGTAAGATGCTGTTCACATTTGTTATATCATTTTGTCATAAGGATGTATATATTGTAATTGTATCTTGCTGGCCTATACTGTCACACAACATCTCCTATATGCCTGTGGGTCAGAAAGGACAGTATGCTGTCATATGTTGCACATAGAGAAAAGTCCATATTCATGATTTGTGAGATTGGACTAAATAAAGTAAACCTGCCTTGATTTGACTTTGCCCAAAAGTAAATGAACACGTGCAATTCAATAATCTACAAAACCTGAAATGTAAAGTTTCTCAAACCTTTTCAGCCACAGAAGTGCCAATGTAGCTCCAGTTTTGGGCCATTCTGCGCCGTGTATTTCCTTCTCTGCCTCAAGAATCTGCTGCAGTGTCTTGAATCGCACCGGGTTGGTATCGTAAACTGCCTTGATTTTCTATTAGGTAAAACAGAACATGTATTATTCTATAACAAATCTGAAAAATTGATAAATAAAGCCTCAGATTAAACTCAGGTGACATGAAAGAATAAACATACTTACTGTGATGTTACTAGCTAAGTCCACCTTTAATGGTGCAAAGATAGTAGAACCAAGGCAGTCTGTGGAGGAATGTTTACACAGAGAGTGACTGAGAATCTTGTGAGTTAAAACGTATATGTAAACAAAACAAAATATTTAGCCTATATAAGAATACCAGCATTATTCTCCCTCCCATGGAGACCACCAACCTCTATCATTATAGAAGCTAAAAGGGTTACTGTAATAACTGTAATGTAGGTCTGTATGCATGGCTTTTTTGTTTTATTTGAAATCATGAACAATTCTTAATATTCAAACTTTTAAATGGCACGTGCAAATAGTTTAAAGCACCACTGACATGCATATCAAGTTAAGTGGCTATAGTTATAATTCACATAGTTACACAAGTCACATGCAAACAACATAATTTAAAAAGAAAATACACTTCCAATAATATATTGATGTTAGTAAATACATTAAAACTGTGACACAAAACCTGACCTTTGACCTTTTAACAACACAGACTCTTTGGTGGCTCTGTCTTTAAAACTCCTGTTGCACCAGAAGAAATCTCATGTCAGGCTTAATTAAAGTGGACCTATCATGCTATATTTGACAAATATATTGTAGGGCCATACCTATACAAAACATGTCTGTGAAGTTTTTTTTTCAAAATACCAAACAGATCACCTTGTAGCCATCCCTCATACTGCTCAAACCCCTGTTTTTAAGCCCTGTTAGAGAAAGGCAGATTTTGGGTCCTTAGCTTGAAAAAAAGAAAGAAGAGGAGGCGGAGCTAATGCCTGATCAGAATTCTACCGGAGATAAAGTTACATTCTGCTGTGATAAAACGCCATCCACGTCAAGGATTATTTCTGAAATAGTATGGAGCTCAAATGCTTTTCCTCTTGCAGGTTTATCACAAGGTGAGTTCTTTTTTTATTTCCTGCTTTTTAAACACATGTGCTCTACAGTACAGGTTAGCTCTAAGTGTTAGCGAGGCTTGCTAATGTAAACAAAAATGAGATTACGTCCAAAACACGTCAGGCATTGTTTCTGATAGCAACTTTCTGTGGGTCCGCCACCAATTATTCCGGGCTGACGTCAGTTCGGATGGAATCTGTTTCCGCTCGTTGTACATCCGTTTTTAAAAGATTTGGGTACGGAGGAAAAGAGAGAGGGTTTTATTTTCTGACGCTGTGTGAGTTCCCAGACACACCGGGGACACATATTTATGTATAAAAGACATCACAAAGTGCATTTTGCATGATAGGTCCCCTTTAAAGGAATATTATGTATAAAAAGGACGCACAAGACATTTGGAATTATTCAAATTGTGAAACCTGTACAGATATTCAATTTCAACACCGGATGTGATTATTTTAACTGTTAAGTTGTAAATCAAGCAGACCTAAAGTAAAACACTTAACACCAGGCTTACAATTGTGTTTTGCTGCCTGTAATGGGAAGTGTGCTCTAGTCTGTTGCACCTGTAACACCCAGCAGTAATGTGACATTACATTACATTGCATTTAGCTGACGCTTTTATCCAAAGCGACTTACAATAGCACTTATCGACCAACAAAATACAAACTTGAATAAAACAGAATCATATAAGTACATCAGGCTTCATAGAGCAAAAACATTTCAAGTGCTACTCAACTGGCTTTAGATAAGCCAGCCCTTTATTAGTATATAAGTGCTTTGTTAATAGTTCTATCGCTCGAAGTGGAGTCGAAAGAGATGAGTTTTCAGTCTGCGCCGGAAGGTGTGTAAGCTATCTGCTGTCCTGATGTCAATGGGGAGCTCATTCCACCATTTAGGAGCCAGGATAGCAAACCCACGTGTTTTTGCTGATGGGAACTTGGGTCCCCTTCGCAGCGAGGGTGCAGCGAGCCGTTTGGTTGATGCAGAGCGGAGTGCACGTGCTGGGGTGTACGGTTTAACCATGTCCTGGATGTAGGAAGGGCCAGATCCATTCGCAGCATGGTACGCAAGTACCATTGTCTTGAAGTGGATTCTAGCAGTTATCGGAAGCCAGTGAAGGGAGCGGAGGAGCGGCGTGGTGTGGGAGAATTTAGGAAGGTTGAAGACCAGGCGAGCAGCTGCATTCTGGATGAGCTGCAGAGGTCGGATGGCACATGCAGGTAGACCAGCCAGGAGGGAGTTACAGTAGTCTAGGCGTGAGATGACGAGAGCCTGGACCAGAACCTGCGTTGCTTTCTGTGTCAGCTGGGGACGTATCCTCCTGATGTTGTAAAGCGTGTATCTGCAGCAGCGGGTTGTAGCAGCGATGTTTGCAGTGAAGGACAGGTTGTTATCTAGGGTCACACCCAGATTCCTTGCAGTCTGAGTCGGGGAAACAACAGAGGTGCCAATGTTGATTGTTAGGTCAAGAGTGGGACAATCTTTTCCCGGAAGGAAGAGCAGCTCAGTCTTGTCAAGGTTGAGCTTGAGGTGATGATCAGACATCCACTGAGAGATGTCAGCTAGACAAGCAGAGATGCGTGCGACGACCTGGGTCTCTGAGCGGGGAAAGGACAGAATTAATTGGGTGTCGTCAGCGTAGCAGTGGTATGAAAAACCATGCGGGCTAATGACTGATCCGAGCGAGTTTGTGTACAAGGAGAAGAGGAGGGGACCAAGAACAGAGCCCTGAGGGACCCCTGTAGTTAATTGACAAGGGTCGGACTCGGACCCTCTCCAAGTAACCCTGTAGGTGTGGTCTTTGAGGTATGAGGTGAGGAGGGAAAGTGCAGAGCCTGAAACTCCAAGTGCTTGGAGAGTGCGAAGGAGGATCTGATGATTCACCGTGTCGAATGCAGCAGACAGGTCCAAAAGGATGATGACAGAGGAGAGGGAGGCTGCTTTAGCAGTGTGCAGTTCCTCAGTGACAGCAAGGAGGGCAGTTTCTGTGGAGTGACCTGCCTTGAAACCAGACTGGTGCGGATCCAGAAGGTTGTTCTGATGGAGATAGCAGGAGAGTTGTCTAAAGACAGCGCGTTCAAGTGTTTTAGACAGGAACGGGAGGAGAGAGACAGGCCTGTAGTTTATAACATCAGTAGTGACAGGATGCTGGAGTACACCTGTACGTCATGGCAGTGAGGTGAGAAACTAAACCACTGAATCTTGGTGGAAACATGATCAGGAGGAGTTACTCTTTAAAGGTCCCCTATTATACTGTTTTTCATCAATATATTATAGGTCTCAGATATATGCAAGACATGTCTCTGAAGTGTTTGTCTGAAATACCAAACAGGTCATTGCAGCATCCCATAATCCCCTCTGTTTTAGCCCTGCTTCAAAAGTGCTGATTCTCTGTCTGTTACTTTAGATGGAAATGAGGAGCCCCTCCCCACGCCCCTCTGAGAGATATTTGGTTAAAAAAAACACAGTGGTGCTCTAGGAGGAGATTCAGGTAATAAGGTGGTGGTGGGGGGGGGTTACCTTGGTTGGTGATTGGCTATGGTTACACAAGCCAAAACATCGTTATGACATCATAAAGTGGCCAAAATCTGATCAGCTCATTTTCAGACAGGTTTTTATATAAATGGATCAGGACAAAAAGAGAGAGAATCTTTTTTCCTGAAATTTTCAGAATGTCTTTACACAGAGGGGACACATGTTTATGTATAAAAGACATGAAGAAGAGGATTTTGCATAATAGGTGACCTTTAAATGAAAAAATGGGGAAATATTCCAATTTTTAAAGCACTCATGTGGCCTACAATAGCTCCACAGTACAGGATTAGGCTTTCATGGTCTGCTGTTTCAACAGACACATCATTACAGTATTATCATTAGGTGTCCTTTAATTAGGCTACAGGAGTATTTGGTGACAGGATGGTGAACAATGACATCTCGAGTCCCGACCCCACGCGGCTCCTGGACAACCCGCTGACAAAACAGACAGCTTTTATCTCCTGAGCTAGTTAGTCGAAACTACTCGTGAAAAAGTCTGCTCTTTTGTGCCGATGCTATCCACAACACTGAACATATCTTGTTTCTTGGATGTCCTTCACTTGTAAGGCTCTCTCAATATGTTCCACTCTCTTTTTGTTACATAGACACAGTGCATCTTAAAAAAACGTACAATTAAACATCAGTAAAATGTAATTAGAAAAAATAGAATTTAAACAAACTAAATAAATATGTTTCTGTTAACAAACACCATTCAGTTCTCCACTTGTTTTAGATCCTGCATTGCAACACAGGTAATTATTCTGTATATTATTCTTAAGCTTGACAGACCCATGCAAGTAGTTTACTAAGGTCAATAAGAATCATAAAAACATTAATTGTCCAGCATTTAAAACAGGTGCAAAACTAACAGGGGATCCACTGTCCATGCAGCCTCAAATAAGAGGTCTAATTAGGCAGACTAATTTAAAACACCTGTGTGAATGAACTCTACCAGTGTGCAGGACTTTAATGGCTTGTAGGAAAGTTGGCTGAGCAATTTCTAGGTCAGGAAAAAACAATGGCGACAAGGAGGGAAGAGTTTAATATGGACATCAGACTTGGTTCTTCTCTAGGGTTTCACATGGCAAATTCAATAGAATACCTTTGGCATATTAATACAGAATGAAGCAGCACAAAGATGCTCCGGTGCACCATGCCGCCGGTGAATGGGCGAGGGGAACTCAACACCGTACTAATCAATTTTCACAACTCAAAATCCAGGCCAGTGGGTTAAATTATGCATGATAAAGGATTGTGGACAGCTTGATGGTGAGAAACACGATACCAAAAAAAGATTATCATTTGGAAAGAGCAAGATCATTTTATTGGGTTTGATGGAAGTGTTGTGACAGATTGTCCTCACAACAATTTATGGGTTTATTAATCAAAGTTGAACAAATCCCACATGAATGATGCATGACGTCTGATAAAAAGTTCATTGTAGGGACTTCTGTCGGATAAAATCCTGCATTTGTGTGCATGTTTAGACAAGTTAACAATATTCAGCTCAAATCATACAGCACTATGAATCTACATGATTGAAATATACTTATAACACTTAGACTGTGTCACCAATCTACAGCTGCAATGCTAAGTCGGTAGATGGAACAATAATCAATTAATAGTTTATTATTTTGAAAATAGATCAATCATTTGTGGATTTCTTCCAACCAAAAATGGCCAAAATGTGGAGATTTACTGCTTTCTTTTTTAAAAATCATATTTAACTTAATAAATGTGGGTTTTGGATTGTCAAAAAAAGATAATTAAAGACATTGCCTTGGACATTTCTCTATTTCCTGACCTCTTATAGACCAAATGATTCAATGAAAAAAACCTAGAAATTGATTTGCAGATTACCATAATGAAAATAATAATTCGTTGCAACCCTACATCAATCTTTCCTAAACTGTACAATCACTGAATAACTCTAACAACTCAATCATTAGTGTATTAAATGCCTCTACTCGCTGCACCCAACAGTATATCCTGTACAGTTGTACGTATATGGCCTCTAACTGTGTCACTCTGTGGACATTTCACTTACCGAAGAATGGTGGAAGGTATGACACAGCCTCCAGAAACGGTCTTGTTTCCACCTGTCTGTCAGCAGGCATCTGTCTGAACTGGTGCTCCATTAGCAGAGCCATCTCTTCAGTCCGGACACACTCTAACCTCTGAAATGATGATATATAGCAACAGGCTGTCAACCCTCCACTGCGCAGCAAAACAGTGACACCAGAAGAAGCTGTGTGCCATACCCCCAGCCTGACTGACACACACACACACACACACACACACACACACACACACACACACACACACACACACACACACACACACACACACACACACACACACACACACACACACACACACACACCACACACACACACACACACACACACACACACACACACACACACACACACACACACACACACACACACACACACACACACACACACACACACACACGTTGAACCCAGGTTGTGTCTTACACAGGCTCCTCCAGTGGTCAACTTGCTAACTGGGTCATCGCTCCTGGCGTTTAGTGTACAACACACACAATAAAGTCAGATGATGTGTCTGATCAGCTGACCCAACACATATTCTTCCTCTGCTTTTAATCGCATGTGGTGCTTTACTGCCAACGAATGGGGCTTTGTGGAATATCTTAAAGTATCTGCATTTGCCATTTCGTTACACTCAATTAATTCAGTATTTCTACGGAACAATAATTATTGAACAACACAGAAGCTTAAAAGGTAACTGTAGAAATTGTAGTGCAAGTCAGTGCATGGCCTTTTCTTGTTTTATTTGTATCATATGCAATTTGACTATACAAAACAGTTGCTTTCACACAATTCAGACAATTAAAAAAATATAAAGTTTATTTTTAAATAATAAGACACAAAATATTGTATTTTATAATAACAATAATAATAACAATACCAAAACAGCGGTTTAATACAATATTCGTGATTGTTCTAGATCATAGTAGAAAATAAATAAATAAACAGAACTATAAACTTTGTATGAATTATTATTTTTAATATACAATATTGCCACATATATTTTTTACGAAGGTGCGTTTCGCAATTTCCTCCAGTAGACCATTTTGAACTTTACTACACCCCGTAGCGTGAGAGTAACCAGAGAGTGTGACGCGGTAACTAAGGAAAACTGGCGGATCCATGGTTTGAATAAGGATTTGTCTGTTACAAAATACAAAACCTGGACTAGTTTTAACAAACATCAATAGAAAGCAATTCAGTGTGCTACCGGAAGGGTGAGTAGGTATTAGTTATCGAGCTGAAATGGTCATAAGTGCGCATGTGTTGCTTGGTAGTGAGAGCTTTTAGATTGGCCAGGACAAACTGACGTTAGCTCACTAGTAAACAATACATCACCCAAAGTTAATGTAAGCGAGGATACCTTTAAAGTGATTTCTTCTTATGTTGTGTGTTCATTATGATTCAGGTCTATGGCGTTGCCGAGGCTGGCCGGTCAGATGGCCCGGCAGCGGGAGCAGGAGGCCCGGCAGCGGCAGCAGTGCGAGCTGCACGCCCGGTACTACAGAGAGCAGGAGGTCCGCAGCCAGAAGCAGGAGGCCTGGAGCTCCAGACACTCCTACCAGCAGAGGTGGGTCACTTCCTGCACCACAGCTGGATCTATAAACAAATCTTCTACTTGAGTAAAAGTAGAAGTACTAGAGTGTAGGATTACTCTCTTAAGTCTTATTTAAGTGTTGATTATTATTTGTGTCAATAATCCAAATCTGCAAAGTAAGTAAAGATATTAAATTGACCTCTGATTTGTAGGGGGGTAGAAGTACAAAGTAGCACAACTTTTAAAAAGTACAAGTAACCCAAAATTGTAGTAGTTACTTCACATCACTCTTGGATCCACATCAGTTAACAAGTAATGCTCACTCTCATCATTTAATTAAAGACATCGCTTGTAATTTTAAAGGGGACCTATCATGCAAAATGCACTTTTGTACGTCTTTTATGCATGAATATGTGTCCCCGGTGTATCAGGGAACTCACCCTTACCTAATTCACACCAACGGTGTTTCAGGGCCGGTTCGGAGCTGGAGCTTGAAAAGCACCGGATTTTCCTGTTCACACCGCAGCGGAGCAGCCTCTTAGCTCCGGAATCCGGTTCGTTTCAAGCACCAAAAAATTGTCCGGCTAGAGCAGTCGAGGCGGAGGCAGGAGCAGGGGCGGGATCAACTCCTGAACAACAACAAAAAGCCGGCGTTTTATCCAGCTTGTACACAACGATGGAGAAACTTCAGAAGCAGCAGTGGTCCACTGAAGAGACCAGCTACCTACTGGGAATCTGGTCTTCCGAAGAGGTACAGAGGAAGCTGGAGCACAATCGGCCATTGTTGTCGGTGTCAGCTGTGAGGGGTTTCCGCGCGGTTTGGCTTTATGAAGCAGGCACGCAAACGGTTACGTCATGACGCAAACGATGACGCAATGACGCAGCACCAGTCGGACTCTGGGCAGTGTGAAAAGAGCCGGAGCTAAACCGAAGAACCGGTTCTGAACCTGAAAAGCTCTAGCACGGAGCTTGAACCGGAGTTGCGTTGGTGTGAATGAGGTACAAGTGGCAGAAAACACAACCCTCTCTCTTTTCCTCCATACCCAAATCTCTAAAAACGGGGCTGCAACGGAGCTGATTATTATTTGAATTTGTCTGACGTCAGAAAAGGGGTGCTCTGCCTATATGGGCAACTCTCCACCTATCAGGGGAATGAGAGACCGCTCGAAAGCGCTGGAGACGCTGTAGTACATATGCCAGGCCTGTAAGTGGCGATGTAGTCTGCCACAAAAGCAGAATCAGCCTTTGAAAAAACAGGGCTGGAAAAGAGCAAATAGAGAGGCGAAGTCCCTCCCTTTCCGGGGGGGCTCCATGGGACCTTATTTCGGAAAAAGTATGTATTGAAGTCAATGGAGAGAGAAAGATTATCTTTTGATCCCGTTTGAATTGTGCCACAAATTACACATATGATGTTTGTCAATTTAAAAGATAGTTTTGCAAGTCAAAAAAATCTAAATGTGTCGTAAAACTGTGAAGTAACACTTTTTTTTGTGTGAAACCGCTCAATGAACTACATCTCCCGTCTCGCACCACACACCAAGACGGCCGTCACCACGTTGGCACATTTCACCTCTTTCTTTCAGAATGAGGCGAAAAGTATTAAAAGAGGTGAACATCACTCCAAGTCTGGGCACGTTGAGAGCTGTGCATACACACAAGGGGAGTTAGTCGGTTCCGCAAGAGCCAGCATGCGGGACCGGGATTCTGGGATTTGTAGTCTTTCTAGTTGCGTATTTTTCATAGTCTTATATTTCAACAGTTTTACGACAAACTGTGACTTTTTGTACATGGAAATTATTTTTTAAGATTGACAAACATCTATGTGTAATTCGTGGCACAATTCAAACGGGATCGAAAGATAATCTTTCTCTCTCCATTGACTTCAATACATACTTTTTCCGAAATAAGGTCCCATGGGTCGGAAGTAGATGGGCGGGACTTCGCCTCTCTATAGAGCGAAATGAGGCATGGCTAAAATGCATGATCTGTTTGGTATCTTGAAAAAAAAACTTCCCAGACATGTTTTATATAGGTATGACCCTACAATATATGTTTCAAATATAGCATGATAGGTCCACTTGATTTCAGGTCTCTTCCTTGTAACAATAAAATACTGTTATTTCATTCTAATTTTCCTTAAGTAGATTTAGCCAAGTACAAACTTCACCTGTGATTCCATGTTAATGTTCATTATTAAAAGGATTGCAAGCTATTTGACCTGTTTTACACCATTTCTCTTTCCCTGTCCTCACTTAGATGGCTCTGTAAGTAAATAACCCTTGTAAAATATAGGTGTCTTTATGATACCAATATATCAAAAGAGACAGTATTCTACAAACTATTGCTCCCAGTGAACTTTTACTTATATGCGAAACACATTAGCTGTTAGTTTGGCACAACACAAATCAGTTTGTCTATATTTTTCAATGAGAGATACCTAATGTGTTTCATCTACAAATGTCTAAATACTGTGATATATAATGTGTGTACAACATGTGTGAACATAAAGGGCGTAAAGAAATGTGGTATTATCGAGTACGACCCTGAAACCCTTATGTTTTCCACAGGAAAATGACAGAAAGAGAAGCCAGTGAAAAACAACTTATTTCTTTCTTCCTCTGTTTTGTCAGTATGTCAGCATACCATAGACAAAGGTTAAAAGAGGAAAAGATGGCCAGCCTGGAGCAGCGCAGGAACCGACTGAGGACCATGCTTCAAGAGGAGCGAGAGCGTCTGGAGGCGGAGCTCCGAGGTGTCGTTCCTGACAGGAGCTCAGCGGCAGGTCAGCTGGTGCAAAAGACTGAGGAACTCCGTACAGCAAGAGAGGAAAGGAGAAAAAAGGTAGTTGCATTTAAACAAAACGTATTTGTCAGTGCTGATCATGGTAGTACTCTGCCATAAGTGTATAAATCCTGTTCTTTCCTTTCTGTTTTATCCCTAGCTTGCACAAGAGCTGCTAAGGGAGCACTGGAAGACAAACAACACAGAGTTGCGAGAGGTAGCTAAGTTTAAGTCTCACTGTCGATGAAGTGATAAATGGCCTCAGGACTCTAGTAACCGTTCTGTGCGTCTGAAAAGCTCTGCGAGAGGAGAAAACAGACACTTTTTGTCAGGATGTTCACTTGATCTGGAAACTAATAGGCCTTGTGATGCAGATATTCCATGACTTTCTGTTAACCTGAGTCCAGTGTAGACTCCAGGGAATAAAATGTTCTGGTATCCCTTCCGCTAAGGGTCAAGTTAATCAGTATCCCTGTCTCGTGTATGTCCTTACCTTTAATCTGTCCACAGGTCGAGTCAGCATTACATAAAGATCATGTTGTCGGCCAATGGCAGGAGCAGATATCTGAGAGGAAACAGGTGAGACATTTATCACAATAATGTTTTTATAACTGTCTCTGTAAAATAACTGTAAGTCCTTGTTGGACATACAGTAATCTCCAAATCACCTACAGGTCAAAAACACTTATTCGTTATTACTGAATTTTACCTAGACCAAATTGTGTAAAAATGGCTGTTTACCACTTTTAAGCATCCCCTCCCTTAAGTCAGTGATGACACATCGGACCCACAAGGCGTTAAACTCTGCCGTTATCCTTTTACGTGACTAATTATTTATGTTACAAATCAATATTTAATTAAACTGGGCTCATCTGTGAACACAGTATCAAGTCTGAAATCTACTTACATTGATCCCCTGAGAATGGTAGATACTTAAGAAAGTGTAAACACCTACTGTAAGTGACCCTGCTCTTCAAACATGTAGGAAGAAGTGGCCGAGAAGAAGGAGAAAAAACGCTTTGAAAATGAGTACGAGAGGACCAGAAAAGAGGCTCTGGAGAGGATAAAGCAAGCCGAGCAGAAAAGGAACGCAGAGGAGCGGAAGAGGGCAGAGGAACTTTGCAAACAAATGGAAGAACTGAAGCTGAGGGAAGAGGAGGTAATCAGAACTTGGACAACGTGTTTCTGCTGGGTAAACATTGCAGATGTGAAAGCTAATCTTGTTTTTTCTGTAAGGCAACTCGCCTGAAGAAGGAGCAAGAGGCTCTGCTGGTCAAACAATGGGAGCTGGAGAAGGCAGAGGGGGAAAGAAAGACGGTTGAGGAAAAGAGAAAGAAGTGTGAGATGGGGTAAGGGGATCTCTTCCTGCAGATAACGAATCACACGTTATATGATGCCTTATTCTGGTGAGGCATGGGGTTCATTGGATGTGTGTTCCACCAGGCAATTCTTAATCCGTCAGTATCGTGCTCAGCTCAAGAGGAGAGCCCAGCAGGTGCAGGAGGAACTGGTTGGTCAACTCCACCCTCTTTTGATACAATATAGTTCTACATAATCCAACTTGCCCTGGTTTTCACACCTTATTCAAATCCCCCTGTGCCCACCAGGAGGCCGACCGTAAGATCCTGGCAGCCTTGCTGGAAGGACAGCAGGACGACACGAGAATAGAGACCACGCGGAGGGAAAGGGCCATCGCTGATGCTGCCTGGATGAAACACGTGATTGAAGAGCAGCTTGAGTTGGAGCGGGAGAGGGAGGCTGAGTTTGACATCCTACGCAGGTGAGCACCAGGATTCAATAAGCTCTGACTCTGCAGGAAAGGACTTCTCCTCCAACACCAACCTATGTATCTCATCCATTTTAGAGAAGAGGCTCAACGTATGTGGGAGAAGCGAGAAGCACAGTGGGAGAAGGAGAGGAAAGCCAGAGAACGACTCATGCTAGAGGTGAATTGTTTTTAAATGAATCCTTATTTTAATGCTTTTCAAATGGTATGACTGCTAAACTTTCCTTCTTGTTCTTTTTCTTGTAAAGGTACTTGCTGGGAGACAGCAGCAGCTTGAGCTTAAGTTGCAGAAGAACAGAGAAGCTCAGGAGGAGTCCCTAAAGAGACGAGAACAGCTGATCCAGGATCTGGAGCTGGAGAAGGAGACCAGGCAGCAGGAGAAGGAGCAGGAAGAGGGGCATAAGACGGCACGGATGGAAGAGATAAATGCTCAGGTGGGCACAGTGGTTTGGGATTTCATAGCACTGTTTTTTCAACATAAAGAAAAAATCAAAAATAAATATATATTACCATTCATTCCAGCCAACAACACAGGATTGGATGTGGGGTTTTTTTATCATAAAAACAGATATGAAGTTGTTTCTGTATTTATACTCTAGGTGGAGCAGCGGCACCAACAGCAGTGGGAGGAGCGGTGCAGATTAGAGGAGGAAGAGGAGGAGGACAAGGAGGCTCTTCAAATCCAGGAGGAGGAGCTGAGGCTAGAGATACAGAGGATGGCCGATAAAGGGTACCAGGAAAAGGTAAAAGATAAAGCCTTTTTTATTTATTGTCATTACAGATTCAACGAGATTCAGAGTGCAACCCTGTCCCAGTGTGCAAAAACTAGACATACATAACATTAAAAACACGGCAGTAGGACAGACAACATAAGAAATCATACGGGGGGATAAATAGTTAAAAATATTGATATAAAAATAGTTTAGAAGTGCATTCAAAGTGTGTATATGTGTGGAGATGGTTACAGTTATTGCATTAAGTGGTGGTTTTTTAGTCCGTTTGTCCGTGCCTTGAAGCTCCTCCCAGAAGGCAGGAGAAAAGATGAAAGTCCCGCTGAATGTTCCTATTTCAAGTTTCAAAATGCTGTTCAATATTAAAATATGCTTGTGCCTTTCAGACTCGAAGCAGACCTCGATCAGCGTGGACATGAGCCACCGACAAGACTGAAGTCAAACAAATATTGTGAGATGTATATTTGTACCTGAAATGAGCTTTAAAGGATACATTTTTCTTTCTTCAAGTGTGTCTTGAAACAATGCTCCCGTGACTATATGTGAATCTAAATAGTTAGCGGGCACTGTAATGGTTCCTTTTGTTCCTAATGGCCATGAGGAGATGTGATGGGACGGGGGGACACAATCCAGTCCTTATTCAATTTAAGCATTTAAAACTTAATCCAATCAGTAAGGATTGTTTCTTTTTGTGCTTATTGTCTTTTTGCTCCATTCAGTGGTGGTGATTTATTCCTTGTGTCACTCCTGAAGCTTAAAATGATCTTTGGTTTACTTTAACATGCCTTTTTTGTTCAGATCAAGGACTGTGAATGTTGTCATCCCACCCTGTACATTGAAATCTGGAGAGGATGAACTGTTAAGCAAATCAATAGCTCTTGTTTTGAGACATATTGTGAACATGTGATCCTTTAATGCCTATTTATAGAATGAAGCATTTGTGTCAGTTATGAGGTCAAATATTGTGCCATCTTGATGTTAATTATTTAATTCTTGTTGTTTGCATATGTAGAACATTATTGAGTTTTTGCACTTTTAGAGCTGTATTTTTTCTATCCTGAACTTGTAGATTTTTTATAATAAACATTTTGCCACCAAATAATGTAAGCACTCTGAATGAAGGCAACGCATACATGAAACACACATTTGATATATTTATAAATTAAGTTTATTTAGAAAATAATTATTTTTCCCAAGTGCAACTTAACAGCTGCATCACATCATCCCTGCACTCTGTCAGGTACAGAGAGGGACATTACTTGATCAGATGTCCAAACCACGATGAACTCTGAAACACTTTGTGAGGATGAATGTGAGGTTTCACAATTATACAGGAGACATCTAGACTTCTATCCCATATGACGCACATTAAATACAAAACAAGCAGCATGGTAACAGAGCACCAAACACATGGACATACATACAGTATTAGCTCTAAATATATTGTCACATCACCAACACTGCAATGGCACACAAGATCGCACAATACAGTGCAGCGTGAAGACACACCGGATAGTTTGAACAAAATACATCAGCGTGCTGGTGAAGCATACAGCTTAGCCCCTGAACAAGCGCTTTTTCTGCATTTACTGATTAGACAAATGGGCACGGATAAATGTAAGTGCACTGCAGACTGGATTTTTCTTGGAAAGGGTACAAACAACATAAAAAGCTTTTTCATTGCAACAAACAAGAGCATTGCAGAGCCCCAAAGTGTGCATTAATGAAGTTTCCAACGTGTAATGGTCCATTTCTTTTAGGAGATTAGACAGTATGATGATTCTTGCACATTGCAGTTAGTGACTGACGCTCCTTTAGCTACAGGGTGTTAGCAATAGCATTCAACGACAGCAGACTCATTTAAGGCTTTCAGCATCATGTCTTGCTCTGGGCTGTTAACATGAACCAATGTCAAAATCCGGATCTACTATGCTGTGCTTCATTTGTTCTCTCAATCAAAAAGCTGATTTAAGGTTACTTGTAAGTATGGGCGAGTTTACTCAAATTGTAATCTTTAAACCATAACAGTCCCAGACCTGCTAGCTGCTGCTTGATTTAACATGATTTGTGGAAGTTGTTGTTTCACCTCAAGATAAATTGTGCTATTATAACAGCTGAGGATGCCTAAATAAAGTTGTTCTCCCTTTTACACTCAGATTTTGTTCATAGTTTGCTTTAAATATGTATTCATAAATTAAAAAACAATGCATGCATATACCACAAATACAAAAAACCAAAAGAATCATTAAAAAAAATGAGGAAACTGAGATGCTTGCAGCCCTGTAAGTGCTGCTAGTTGGTATTCTCCTTTGTGGTGATGGTCACAAGCTGCTTGGCGGCCTTGGCAATGTCATAAGCACATTGGATGACCTGCTGGGTGACCAGCTGCATGTCCGGCGCCGCGCAGCCCTCCGACGGCAGCGCCTTCCTGCACTCGCCCTGAAGCCGGAACGCACTGGAGGTCAACAAGCGCAGAGAGCCTCGAACGGTCTCCGAGCGCGGCTTCTGCAGAGGAAGGATTACATAGATTAATACTGATAGACTGAGATTGTTGAAAAGCAGATTTGTGCAAAGAGAGGTGGTGAAATAAACTTTGCAAACTGTCTTTTTTTTAATCAAATGTTAAGACTACATATAATTAATACACAGGAATATAAACTACTAGGATTACATTTTTATTTCAGTAAAGAATCAAGTGAAACAAATAATACATCAGGAATTGGCACAACTTGAAATAGTGCTGTAGTTGGACCTTGAATCTCTGGTATTTGTGCCTTATGATACCTCTAGAATAACATATAAGAGCAAATGCCAGATTGATCCGTGCTCTCAAAGCAAACACAACAATCTTTATACCTTTGGGAAGAGGGCAGCCATTTCTTTCACAGCCACATGTATTCTTTCTGAACAGGGTATGAAGCTGTGAAGAGAAGAGAGTTGTGGTTGAGTTCAACATATTGATGTCATATTATATGATTTCATAAGCCACAATATATAATTCACACCACACCGTGCATTATGATATCTAACATTAGGTTAACATGTTCAGATCATGCTATTTAACCGTCTTTCCATTAATTGCCGACTTTTTTTTTTAGCATTGTAAGTAAAAGGCAGTTTTATTCCAAATAAATGTTGCTTGACACATGAACCAAACAACAGCCAAACAATGCATATTTCTCCTAAATAACATAAAGCAAATTCAAAATCAGCAAAACAAAGAAAAGGAGACAGTTTGTTAGCAGGTGAGGCCGAAGGTAAAGGGTGAGGCAGAAACAGTGCGGGAGAGGAAAATGAAAGTGTGCCTGGGAGGCAGGGACAGAGGCCAGAGTACCAGGATGAGGGGTCAGGGGACCGCAGGCTGAGCGGCTGAAGGGGGGGCGGGGCCTTCTCGGCCCAGGGCACCAGAGTGCTGAAACATCCCAGGCTGTGCCTGAGCCGACGCACACCTTCCCGCTCAGAGGGTCTGCTCTCAGGGTAAGGGGCGGGGCACCACGACACCAAAGCAACATCATAACAGCGGGGCAGAGTGGAAGTTGAATGAAGGGGAACAGTGAAGATACCAAACAAAAAAGGGAAATGATAGGACATAAACGCATCTACAAATAACAGAAACAATAACGAAGAGGAACTAAAATGAAGCAAGATAATGAGAGCTAAAAAATAAATCCTAAAGTGATAAATGTATTTTCTCTTCAGATTCTGACCTGTCGTGTTTGTTTTCCTGAGCAGCTCTCAGCAGCTCTTGGATATTCTTGGTGATCTGCTCTGTTTTGCGGATGACGTCCTCAGTGCTGGGCAGCGTGGGGTCTGCCTCCATCATCACATCGTCCAGCTCAGGGATGGAGCTGCCCTCCCCCAGCCAGCTCCTCAGCCTGCCTCTCCTGCAGTACCTGCACAGGGGAGTTCAGAAGAGATCATGTCTACAGCCAGAATGCCTGCGTGTTGTTTTTAATCTAAAGACAAAACAACTCATCACATTACGTTTGGAAACCCTTCAAATAGTTTGTTGTGTAAAACTCATAATATTCTTTCTCACTCATCACTTTGTACAAACCATCATTGTGGGCTCTTACCCCGAATCATCCATCTCAGAGTCATTGAATGTGTTGTCATAGTCACTTTCCGGCATGCTGATTTGCTTCTCTAAATTCGAGGCCTAGAAGAAACAGAGGAGACAAAAAAAAGATGCTTCATGGATTGCAATACCTTGCAAGACTCCCATGTCGTTGATAATAAAAACACAACAGCTGTGGTGAAATCAATAACTGTATCCCTGTGTTTGTTGTATGTCAAATTGGAATATAGAGAAGTGAAAGCGATGCAGGTGGTCTGACTGAAACAAGCCAACAGATCTGTGAAGCAAGAGCACATCATTCATTTAAAGCAGTCAAACAGATAATGCAGAGTTCACTCATGTCACTGTGACATATTATTACTGCTGAGTGATAATGGCCGTGGTCTTTTCCAAGCACAAATAGAATTCGGTCATTCGACTGACTAGGATCATTATCAAATGGATAATGTTGAAAAAGCGATAAATACATGGATGATAATGAACAGAAAGCCAATTGTAATCATTGGGAAATGTGCTGCTATGCTAGAGACTTGAAATCAGAACAGAAACCGAACCCGTAACTAAGGGAAGTAGACATCATTGTTGATAACAGGAAGTCAAGTTTCAGATAAGTTCATATTTTAAACTAAATCAAATGCAACACAACTATTAGGTGAATTGCAGAACATAGGAATGCCTTATCTTCCTGACATGTTAACTGTGATCTGAGACTTTTACTATACTTGAAGACTATCAAACTCAAATCTAAATGTATAAACAGGAAGCCGAGACAAACAGGTACAATCGATCCACACCGCACCGATTGTACAACACGTTCATTCTCAATCCACGTCCGATAGAATCTAAACTAAATCCTCTATTTGTATGCAGTACAAAATGCAATGCAGGACACATAAGCTAGCTTCAGCAAATGCAATTAGCTCTTACATGTCTAGATATATCCGAGTTCTGACTGAACAGAAAGTCTATCTCTTTAGACTGTAAACTAATCCTGAAACACAACATTGCTTGTGTTACTGGAGGAAGTGAGAGCATGCTGTTGGAAGCTCACTGTGCAAAAGAGCCAGGCAGTTGTTAGAGACGGTGTCTTTTTTCGGACCAACTGAAGTATAAAATATACATTTAAAATATCAGCTTTAATCAATTTGTTCCCCTTTCGTTTTATAGACTGGTGGTTGTTTTAAAAAAATAATGACAATCAGTAAATACAGACTTTGCACAAACAATTGTTTTCAACATCATCTGCTAAACAGGTTTCTGGAGCAAAGACAGGAAGCATTAAATGAGCAGGTGTTTGCATCACAATTGCGACTTTTTGCTCCTCGTTCAGCGCTCAGAGGTTTTGCCTGCACAAAACCACACAATTCCAATTGTTTAGCTGTGAGGATGATGCTGAGGATATGTGAAGGTGGGGGCAGCTGGTGGAGGCTCATGCAGCAGAGATGGAGCAGCATATGGAGGACAGAGGGAGGCGAGGGGGGGAGACAAGAATGGCTCCAAGTGGATTGGCTGCGTCCCACGAGATGTGGAGCGAGTGTGGATGTACTTAACCTTTTGAGCACTCTCGTCCTTCGACCAAGACAGGGTGGATGGAAATGAGGGGAGGGATGAAGAGGTGGTCACAAAAGCGCCCCTTTCCGTCTAAAGACAGGGTTCAAATCACATTTTAAGGACACAAATGTCTTGAATTAAGAAACAAACGTGAATAAGACCAGATCATGTCCCAGAAGCCTCTTCAAGCCAGATGCGTCTCGGTCGGATACTGTATACTGAAAATGGAATTGATGGAAGAATTTAACCCTTAAAATCAGGAGGAGAAAAAGTGAGGGGTGAGATTAAGAAAATGCTACGTAGACAGTTTTAAAGGAGCTTTGTTGTTCGGATTATGCTCCTCTATTTATTAATGAATTTGTGCTGGAAAAATATAAAGAGCAAAGGAGTTCATCCATCAAGAGAACATTTGCAGAAAACCATGATTCACATGCTCAAATGTAAATGCAAATTACTGAAACAAAAGAGAGAATCAAAACAGATGACAAGATAAAGTGAGTTTATGAAATGATCATGCATTACAAAAACACAGAGTATTTGTATGGTAGTTTTAATGCTTCATCAACATAAACACAGTACAAACCTTGAAATGATATCATAATAACAGCATCTTCTTTTGGTAACAGCTTGTCTGACAAACAAGCAGCACTCCAGAGAATAACAGCTTTTTTGCAGATAGTGGTTTTGAAAATGGATCTGGACAAGATGAGACTGGCTGTGTCTAAATACATGTCATTGTGGTTTTGATGACTCTTTCATGCTGCAAAAAAAAAAACTCCCCAGTGGCAAATGATTAAGGAAAGCCATAACAAAATAAAAGAAGGTAGAGATAAAGGTTTTTCAGACAGGGTGGAAACATGAGGGAAAGTAGTGGAAACAGGGCAGGAGAGGAAATGGCAAAGGAGAGCAGGGTCTTACTTACATGAGGTGGGAAGGGTTGCAGGGTGGGGACACACTCCTCTGGGTAGTGGCTCTCTCCTTTAGGGAGATAGGGCTTCAGGCCTGAGCCGGTCTCATACATAGACATGGGGCGGCTGGCCCGCGCAGACTGTCGGCGCTTCAGGGCCGAGGGGCTGGAGGGGCTGGGGGAGGCGCTGGGGGTCTGATAGATATTGGCTGGGCCGTGCCGCCTGAGAGAGATGTTCTCGCTTTGCAGAGATTGCAGCTGGAAGAGACGTTTAGTAATAAACTAAGAGGTGCTGTCGGCAAAGCAAGCTGTGTTTCCTGTTCTGATCCACTCTACAGCATTACATTTCAGAGTTGATTCCAATGTTTCCCTAACATATGATATTGGGATTCGACAGACTGCTACTGCTACTGTGCAAAGGTCTTCATTTGTTCTTGTTGTTCCAATGACAGAAAGTTAACAGTAAATATTTGATTATCACTCATTGTCAATCTATTTAAGCGTTTTGAGCACCAGGAAAAGCGCTATATAAATAACATGTCATATTATTATTATATATATATGACTTTGAGCTGATTCAATGATAATGTCATGTGGAAACGTATAGCTTTCAGGTTAGAAACATGAATCTTTTCCCATAAATATAATTTCAAGATTTACTGTTACCTCCTGAAGATCATAGGAATAACGTACATTTTGTCAACAAAAAAAAGCAAGAAAAAAAAGGCAAAGCAAGTAACAAGCAAGCGACAGATTGTTTTGTAGGTTAGCAACAGAGGTGCAGTATGGAGGAATATAGGAAGATAAGAGCCATTAAAAAAACAATGTCATGATGATTTTTAGAGGAAGAAATACTGGCTAATTATTGCAACTACTTGTATTTATATACAAAGTAAATTGAGAGTACTGGTCTGAAATGGGGGCATTATGGTTTAGTGTCCAACCTCTGCCAATCCTTTTCTTTATCTATTTACTCATCTTTATTTGGGGAATCTGTTCACCCACGAGCCAACACGAAGCCAGGTCACATCATCAAAAGCAATGCCGTACTCTACAGTGCTGTACGTCAAAGTTAAGAGACAAACGATCTGCATTTTCCTTCAAAACTGCCAGATTAAGCCATTTTAACAGGAATATAACCTCAATGACAGGTTTTATTTTAACAAAATAAAAAGATGTAACATGCATAGGACATCTGTTGCCAACAATTACAATGTTCAGGATTTAGCAGGACACGGATTGATAACTGAAGCACAGTGCATACAAATGTGCAGAATCTCAAAGTTAACATAGTCGATGTAACAGTATCAGAGTTCCAGGTTTGTATCAGCTTTTAAATATCTATGAAATGGGACCACTTAGAAAACATGTCAAACAATAAATCCATACATAATAAAAGGCTTTTACCCAAAACAAGAGCAGTCAATTATCCAAAAACATTCTATGCAGTAAAAACAGTATATGTGATGAAGCAATGCACACACATACAATGGTAAGTCACTATGAAGGGATTAAAAAACACTGTTGATTACTTCATGCTTTTTCTTAAAACATGCTTGTTAGTCACATTAGACAGAATGGGTTTGTACCAAAAAGAGAAACCTACTTGTAAAATGTTTCTGTTATTAACTGGAGAAAGTAGGAATTTTGTTCTTCTCAAATCCAGAAAACAAATGAAAAAAAAAGAAACTCTCCGGTTTGAATCGAAGCTTTGAAATGAAACCGAACATGCTGGCCGAAACAGAGGGTGGACCAGCAGGGTGTCACAGCAGCCTTATCGTGCAACTCAGCATTCCTGTTCAGATATCGGCCTCCACACTGGGCAGGAGAAGAGCTCTGCTGACCGCTGTGGCCCCCCCTCAGTGCGGCCCCCGGTGTTAGTGATTTTATTGGTGGAGCGCGGGGGATACCTTTTTCTGCATCAGCCTCAGCTCATCGCTCAGGTTGTTGTTGGCTTTCATGAGGTTCTGGATCTTGGCCTCAGAGGCAGAGAGCGCGTGTTTCACCTCCATGTATTCATGCACAGTGATGGGGCTGTCGGAGAGGTCAGAATCCAGGCTCTGTGGGAGAGAGAGGGGTTAGACACAGAACGGATGTCAGGGTTTCATTTGTGAAAGTGATGCCACCATACCTTGGTCCTATCTCCTTTGTTGGTGGGGGAATCCTGGTCTGTGTCCTCGTCCGACGCCACGCTGTCGTAGTCAGGCTGGTCGTTGTCCTGGCTGTCACTGCAGTGCCTGACTGCCACGTTCTTCAGGATGAATTCAACATTATCTGGAATGAAGGGGCGCAAGGTGGAAAAGTTATATCTGCGCTACATTTTAGTATCAGTTACATGTTGGAATGAAGACACAATAAGATGCTGACCTTTGGGGCTAGCTATCGAACTCCCTTGTTGTCTGCGCTTAGCATCACTTAATATGTCAATGACAAGAGTTGCAAATTCATGTGCATTGAATCTTGCAAGCTTTTGTCGTCCCTAAATAAGAAAAACAAAGACACATCAGCCCAGAAGTATGCGATGTTACTTCACAGGATAAGTGTGCAAAGGGGTGATAGTAAACATGTGCAGGTATGCTGTCTGTAAATCGAGCTTGCCTGATTTCGTGTTGATGAATACTCTGGATTCACAGGAAGAAAAGGCACCACAGTCGTCTCTGTCACCAGAGTGCTGTGATTCTGTGTTGCTAACCACACTACCAAATATAAAGGATAACAATGAGCACATATTACACAAGAGCGGGACTCCAAGAAATGTATTCACAACAAATCTTGTACTGGATCATTCTCCCGTACCTGCATCAGTCTCTCGTCTGTCCACCTCATCGTAAACATCCATGGCCAGCTCTTCAAATAAATGATTACTCAGCTGCATGGAAATTAGAGAATGACACTTAAGACTTAAGTAAGGGAAGAACATATAGCTAATTTCAGGGAAATGTTGCTAAAATACTTACAGACTGCAGTTTCTTCTTTGCCGCCTTGGCCAGCTCTGACAAATCTAAACTGCTACACACAGAGCATAGCTTTCAAAACATGCTGGTGAAATGATAGGTATACATAATGCCTCTTTCATTCTGAGCAATACTTACATGTTCCTTATCCATCAAAAGAGGGCAATTAAAAGGAGATTCAATGTGTTATTAAATTGAAAAGATTGTGTTGCCTGTGATGAATTACAGTTGCTTGGAGAAACGTTTTGATTTATTTGCAGCAATAGTGGTTGGTATGTCAGATACTTCCATTTCCTTAAAACACAGATAGTAGATGCTGCAGCTTTCTCAGCAGCGTGTTAGGACAGGCCTCAGAGCCAAAAGACAACCCTCAAAAGCTGCCTCTCAGAACTCTCTTTGTTGGCTGGTTTCAAGTTAAGCCCATTCACTTAGATGTAGGTTCATTCACTTCATATTGACACGCATCATGTTGACTTACAGTGTGCTTTCTTACCTGTCAGCCATTTGTGGAACAATGAAGTGCTGGCTGTTTTTATGATCTGAAAGCAACAACAAAAGTGCTCTGTAGGATTGCCAACAACATAATCAATACTTATCGGAAATGTAAACGTTCTAGATGAAGTGTGTTTTAAATATAGTACATACTTGGTTTCATAGGGAAAATTATAAACACTAGTTCTTATCTGCGTCTCTACCTGACTTGGCAAATAAGCCACAACAATGAGTAAGTTAGTGTTTAAGCTTAAACACTAACTTACTCATTGTTGTGGCTTATTTGCCAAGTTAATATTTTCTTTAGCTCCAACCAACACCTCTGCACATATTCTTTGATCCGTATCTTTTAAGGTATTTCAATATCAAATCTCTCTCACTGCGTACCTGGCTTTCTCCCACACAGGTAGAAGGCCAGCCGATCAGTTAGTTCATACTGAATCTCCACCAGTCTGTCTGCCAGCTCATGGTGGCCAGCTTCCCTACAAAAGGCACATCAAAAAACATTATACCACTGATAATAAATTGAGTTTGAGTTATTAAGGATAATTGAAAATAGCTAACCTTGCATAGTCAATGGGAGTTTTGCCATTGCTGTCGGGGGCTCCGGGGTCTGCTCCGTAAACAGTTAACAGTTCAGCCTGAGATACTTGTCCTGCTTTTGCAGCGACATGCAAGGGAGTGTTCCCTTTCTCCTGGAGGAGAGGAGGAAACACCATTGTGATTTAGATGTAATAGAAACGTTATTGCAAAGATTACAATTAGAGACCATCTTGCTCTGGGATCACTCTGACATGCAAAGACAAATCTGGTCAGGGGCCTTAAGTCGGGGGGCCAACAACCCCCATCCGCACAAAAACCACCAGACTCAGGGACAGTTTTAACTTTAAGACTGCTAAACACCTGAGCTCTGCTAAGTGCCCCGATAAACATTCCTGTTGTCATCTTGCAATATACTAATTTATATAAATAGTTATCACCACAATAAACCGTATTTAATTTTGTCCAAATTTACATTCTTTAATTTCATATTCTGTTCTTGTACATATCCCATATTCTATTGACATGTATCTACACTTTTTATTTTGTATTTTATTATATATGTTGCATTGTTGGAGGAGCTCAGGTCAGAATAATTGCATTGCCATTTCTACACTAGAGCTTTGTGCATATGACAATCAAACCGTTGAATCTTGAATCCCAGCTTTCTCCCTCCCTCCTCTTGGCTCCCTTGCTCAGACCACACCCATCTCAAAACCTTCAATCTGATTTCAACTACACACCTGGCATGTTTTGTGATGCCAAATCTGGCCAGAGGCGTAAAGAGTGTGGCCTCTATTTCTTGAAACAAATCCAGTTTCGTAGCAGTTCATCATTTTGATGAAGACACTACTCAACACGGCCTCTGTGGCAGTTAGTGCTTCAGGGCATGTGTCAGGAGCACATTCTGCCCTGATGATACGCACAGTGTCGCCCTCGTGTATTTATGGTTTTAAATGCAGCAGATGAATCTTACCGGGTGAAAGAAGTTAGCTTGTGCTCCCAGGGATAGCAACCGCAAACAAGTCTCCAGATTCCCGGTGCGTACACTTGAGTGAAGTTGCTGAAAAAAACAAAACAACTATTAATATGAATGAATGAAGCGTAATAATAAAACATTGTGCCAAATATCAGATTTCGGCTCAACTCATGGGGACCCACTTCTCCTCACCTTGCTTAAATCCTTGGCTGTGGAGCTGTCGTCCTCCCGGCAAGGCATGCGATGAACAAATGCCAGCATTTGATATTTGGCTCTTATAAACTCGGATTTGTTTGGGCTTTAGGACAACATGAAACATATTCAAACAGAAAGAAAGAGGCCGTTAGTGAGGCAGTGGAACAGACTAAAGATGGAAGTTCAACAATCATTTATTTGGGTTATTTCATTAACATCTACATGAACATTTGACAACAATAAAAACTCACTGCAGTTTGTCCTGAGGGTTGGCCTTGCGTTTTCCACTCATCACAGAGGCCGGGTCCAGAAGAGAGTGCTCCCATATTGAATTGGCACCATTGCCGTATAATGTCTGAACCATCTAGGATGAAATATAGACGGAACCTGTATAATATATCCCAATGATTTATACTGCAGAAGGCTGACTGGCCTCTAACAGTTCACTTCCCGAACAAACCCTTTCTATATTTGGACACAATCAATAAACCCCAGTGGGATCTGATGTACAACTGTTGTCAACAGATTGTGAGCAAAGATAGAGGTCTGATGAATTTTAAACGACACTGAAACAGATTTTGTGCAAGGATAACAGGATCTCAAGGCATGGTAGGAGAGGGGAATCGGCCTCAAAGCACTCATGAGCACACTGTGAAAGTCCTAAAGATATGTAGGTTCGCACAGGTGAATATTAATATCAATGTCTCCTGAATTAAATAATTACCTGTAGCTGTGTAGAAGGCCATGGTGTGTGTATCAGGTGGCGGACTTGCGAGCTGTGTCTTCCGAGACTCCGATGAACGCTGCAGCACTCGTCACAAATGAACACCCCTCTGTTCACCGAGGCCCAGCGAGGCTCTGACAGGGAAGAGACAACAGGGAAAATCACACTTTCTGCAATCTAATTGATTGTTTTCTAATTAAAGGAGGGGCTTTAGGGTACAATATGGGATCCTTCAGTTCTAACAGGTTTGATCTGCTCTAGCTTTAATTGTAGGTAGTCTTAGATGAGTTATAAATGTGTCATAGGAAATGCCCTCTCTTCACATTCAGTACCGTTATTCAAATAACCGACATGCTAGGTTGTAGCACTTCTCCTTTTCTGTTCCTCACTGACTGCACTCAGAGACACTTATAGTGTCAAAACAATGAGAGACACATGTATAAAGGATAAAGCTAGGAAAAAAAGACCAAATCCAAAACGTAAACGATCCTTCTAACAGGTATTGTCTGTGTAGCCAAAGCCTGAGACAACTTATTGTGCGACCCACACTTGTGTACTAGGTGTACTATCAATAGATACTTTTGAGTAAAGTTGCTTGAAATAGTCAGGATGTCAACAAAACTGTTTTATTTTATGGATGAAAATAATCCAGGAAAATGCATTTTCTATATTATATTATAATATTATTAGAAAGCCAATTTTTTGCATCTGGTTTTGACTTCCCAGTTTAGACTACTGTATTGTTAATTTCTACTAATATATAAGAAGAACAGTTAACACTACATAGGGCACTAATATTACAAACAGTCAAACAGTGGCTATTACATGGTAACACTTTGACTTGAGAAGGTTTTAACATGTAGACACAAACACATTCTAATAACTACAAGAATAAGAGTGCAACCCCCAGCTGGCTATAAGAGACATTTAATTAAAGCCTGCTAAACCTCAGCCTTAGGTGAAGCCATGCATTGTGTAACGAGGAAGTGACTAGCAGTTGTAGGTTGAAGCACCTCGACCTAAATGTTAAGTAAGAGAGCAGCTTCCTCCTTTAAAACAAAAACACACAAATGCTATCAATACTTTTGGTGCTGTAAATTCTGTAAATGCATAGTTAGAGAAATATAGACATAGTATAAGATACAGTATACTGTGTGACTGAAATAAATATGTTTACTTAACCTTGACCTATTTATTACACTTCACAAATGCCACATAGTTGTGCCGTCTGCAATTTATACAGAGACTCCTCTGAGAGCGAACATCTGAAGACCAAAAATACTGTCAATTCATACGATACTGCGACAGCCGATAAACTGTTAAGCAGATTGAGTGGCTGGCACTGGGACAAGACAGTGAAGTGTGTGAGTGTGTGAGCAGCAGCAGCTGAGGTGTAGGAGGAACAGCTGCAGGGGTTTTGGTCAGAAACTGGCACCTGGTCCCCAGTGTTCAGACTATCCTCCTCCTTACTCTCAGACCAAGACCTGGGAGTTGGTGCTGACATGCCTCTTTTACCCGTTCCTCTGTGCTGCTAAATTTAATACCACATCTTGAAACTCTAAAAATATTCTCAGCCAACAACTGGTAGCAGCCGTATGGAGGGGCAATCCAGGCCAGCTGCTGTGAAGACCTGCTGGGTTTAACTAGTCTGAGTGACATGATGATGGACAATGTACTGAAACTTGAGTATTGATACATTTTAAGCACATTTGTTGTTTTTCTTGTGAAATATGAAAGCACCCAACATAAAAGTTCTAAAACTAATTCTCAGCCTACTGTTACTGTAAATCCTAATTGCAATGTATTGTGGTTAGACAATAGAAAAATATCGTCTGCATCGAAAGCACGCAGTCAATTCACTCAGCATCCTGTTTTGCTTCCTGTGCCTGCCGAAAACATCACGTCATGTCATTATAGCTGGGACTCCTGAAGGTTCCTCACACACAATGCCACTATAACTTGTTCAGCTGACAAACAGTATGTTTGACTGTAAGGGCTTGATTCAAATGTCTCCAACGGCTAATACTATTGCCATAATGTCACAAACACAGGTTAAACTCTCTTCATCTTAAATAATGAATCCCCTGACAATAACTACAGATACCAGAGTGCAGTGATTGTTTCAATGTGACAAACATTTTTGAGGTGGAATAAGGATTTTTTTTTTGGGAGGGGCTTTTAGGGGGGGGCCATATCTTTTCACAAAAAATGTTTTACGAAAGACTTTACACAGTTAGATTCAGAGGAGGAAAAGTCATGCCATTCAGAATATTTTCAGTGACACTCTCAACATGGGACTGGGGTCTCTTTTGCACAAAACTCACCCTGAAAGGAGAGCACTGTACCCATTGACTGTCAATTATTGCAATCATCCTAGTGATAGATACAGAGCAGTTTCCTGCTTATGTAGGATCAGATGTTATAATGGATGATTACATTTCCAATTAGATGGAGACTTGCATGCCACAGACATTATTTAATAATTTTCCTTTGACGAAACAACTGTGCAATTACATTGACATGCATCAAAAATGTCAGCCTGATTATTGAAAGCAAGTAACACCGGATGGAAACAGTTAAAACAGACAGCTGCTTCAGGTCTAATTGCATCCCCAGCCAGGGACCTGTCAACAGCACTAAGAACTTGTCCCCTCAAAACACTGCATATGTTGGAAAGCAGCATGTACCGGTAGTTATAATCTGATGTAAAGAGTGCACTGCAAGGCTCTGGCTTAAGGTTACTTGGTACTTAATAAATAACGGGTAACAGCTTCAGGGATGGTGTGAATTGTCTTACCTGGAACACTGCAATCAGCGCAGAGCTCAGTGTTTCGTATGCGTTTAGACATCCTTTGCTCAGCAACAAACCTCCTTTGAAACAGAGTATTATGTCCGGTGCGTTTGGCTAACCATTGATCACTCTTGGGGGGATGCCTTCCGTGTTAGCTAGCTAATTAAAAAACAACCCCAAACAACGACCTGCTACTTCATTTAACTGTTGCTAACCATTTCGCTTTGTCCAGCGTCTGAGTTACAACCATTATAACGTTACCTATCGAGAATAAGGTACAATGTTACTTGTTTGCAAAGTAGGCTGACTTAGCACCTGATTAGCTAACTCGCCTGTCCCCGTTTGGTAGTTTACTCTTCAGTCGGTCTCTGGTAGACAGCAGGACTACAAATGAAGGACTACAGATGAAGGACTACAGATCTCTAGCGTTCCCAGTGGCAGCTGCTAATGTTGTATGTTATTGTGCCCAGAGTTCGGTCTCTCAGGAAACAAACTTCTTCCCGGAAATAACGCCTCCTGGACTATTTTGCCTGGAAAAGTATATCATAATTGTGGACCTGATTTCTTTAGAAATACCGTTAATAATGATACATAAATACAAATCATAATGCTTGGATGAGTTTGCAGTGGCCTTTGGGCGGTACCGCTCGGTACACAACCTGATAGAAAAAACTGAGGGCAAAAACACAAGTCAGAGTAGGTGAGTTTGATCTAAGCACCTTCGTGACACGGTACAAAAAGAGTAATTTTAAAAACATAAAATAGGGTGACTCCTATTGGATATATATTTACTGGAGGTCATCTTTTGGAGCACAATTCGCATAATATATCACCATATTTATTTTACTTAATAATAACTTTATTTCTAAAAAATGTACAACATTTCACAACTGAGTTCAGCCAGGACGAATCACAATTGTGTGGTTGTGTTAACAAATATGTATCAGCAGAAAAGTTTAATAACTACTTAATATGCATACGTTAATAGAGCAACTGCATCCGGTTTTAGGAATAACCTGTGGCTGTGGTTAATATAGTGTAAAACCTCAAAGGGCCGATATGCACATCCATCACACCGTGGTACGCTGGCGGTGAAGTGTTTTCAACCTCCCCGACACGTAAAAGCGCCGATCTCATTTCTAAATAATAGGTGAACTCAGTCAAGCTATTGCCTGGAAACAGCTTTAGCAATGTTTATTTTGTTAATCTTTTCAAGTAGAAATGCTTTGAAATTCAAGTATTTAGCATCTTGAAGGCCTAAAAGTTTGACACGGGACGTTTATAGGATTAGTACGTTTAGTTAGTCCGATGGTATCCCCCATTCAGAGACCCTTAATAGTTTCGTCCAAGTGGGACTGACTATTTTTCTTTTTTCCCTCAAGGCGATGGTTTTATTTACAAACCTTGTTTCTTTCGTGTGTTTACCAAATAAATAATTGCTATTACATATGCATTCATTTCCATTGTTAAGGGTAAGGACAGCGGCCTTAATTGGATTGTATTGTTTAGCTTGTGAGTCTATTTCTTTGTAGGACACCCCTGTCATTATTGGGAACAGCTCCTGGCACTTCCTTGTTCAAAAGTTTTATTTTAGGGGAAGGCTTGGTGAAAAGTTGGACACCGGTTTAGATATTTCGACGTCAAATATTGAGGGCATGGATCATATTAAGTGTACTTGTTGGCATGACTAGCGTGTAGCTATCGCGGTTTTCCCATGGCTGTGATTGTTAGAAGCGGGCTAGCGTTGCACTGAGCGGCTCCATAAAGAGAAAGATGTCCACGGCTAACGAAGAGATCCGAGAGAGGTTCCCCCTGCACTCAGCCGTGTGGGAGAATGACTACAGGACACTGGAGGAACACATTACTTTACCACAGGTTGGTTAAAACACGGAGTATGTTTCAAAGCTTAACACAAATGCATTCTAGCTAGAAAAGGCCAGGAGTTAGCTGTTAACACATCCGTAGCCTTTCAGTCAAAGTAGGCCAGTCGTGTTGACGGATGCTCTAATGTGCCACACATATAGCGCTTGAAATGTCTATGATGACATTTCTATTTACAGATCAACAAAGTTTACTTTCAAATATATATATATTCCACTACACATATTTAGATGTATATACATTTAACCTATCTGTATGTACTAGACCTGTTTAGACTTTAACTAATTTCATGTCTGTTATTTCTATTCATACTATTATTACATGTTTATTCTTATTTTATTTTTGTATTCGTATTATCCTATGTGTATTATCTGTGTTTCTGTCTTGTGCTGTTGTTGCTATGACACCAGAATTTCCCTATGGCTATTGGGTATCAATAAAGGTCCATCTTATCTTATCTTACACATTAAAAAGCCTGTTTCCCGGGTTGTATATTGTTATTTTTAATACTTTAAAATGTACAGTATTAAAAGTGTAAATCCTGAACAACCGTTTGAACATAATTGCACATTTCTGCTCCACACTATCTCTATTTAAATCTGCACAGTTCTCAACTTTGAATATAGTATTTGTCCTATTTTGTTATATTTGACTGTACTCAGTTTCTTACATAATTCATATTTTGTGTTAACGTTAGATATGATAACATATAGCTTTGTTGTTGTGTATTATGTCTTGCCACCTTCTCAGATTCATTCTTGTCAAACATCTAATATATAGTTACCCCTAGGTATTAATATTTTAATAAAAATGATCTCTAATCTCCTCTCGGTTTAGTATTGTATATTGGTGCAATATCATTATTATGATCCAATCCGTATAACTTTGAATACCCAACAATGCTAATCAATAACACATTTAGCTCATGACTCAATATGCAGTCTTATCAGCATGTGTTAATGCTGCTGGATTGTTGAACCAGGTTTAGAGTTTATTACACAAATATGGATATAGAACAAGCTAAAATGTTTGTCTCTTTTTGATTTTTCTCAGAATGACATTGAGGCTGTGGATCCCAGAGGTCGGACCCCTCTCCACCTGGCTGTGTCGCTCGGGCACCTGGAGTCAGTGAGAGTCCTTCTGAGACACGGTGCTGAAGTGACTAAAGAAAACAGCATGAATTGGACAGGTTAGTCCCACAACTGAACTGGCAGCATAATAGATTATACAGTAAGAGTGTAGCATGAAAGCGTGATGTGAGGCCGTGCATGTTTCGTTCACTTGTCTTACAGAAATGCTTTTTGGGGGATTTACGGCTTGTTTGATCACTTAAAGCCCTTATCACATTAACCTACAAAGCATCTGCTGTTAATGGGGTTTCTGGTCCAAATCCATATCCACTCCTCTAACTGCAGTGAAACAGTTTCACGTTCCCTTGCTATTACTGTAATTGTGGCTGAGGTTTTCTAATGGGTATGTGTTGCTCCCAGGGAACAGATGCTGTTCTCTTAAAAGGTTTAGTGGTTTGTTTATAATTGTCTGTCTCTGTGTAGCTCTGCAGGAGGCAGTCAGCACCGGAGACCCAGAGATGGTTCAGTTAGTGCTGCAACGCAGAGACTACCTCAAAGCCTCCACTGCTCTGGGAGGAGTGCCTGAGCTGCTGGCAAAGATCAGAGAGGTCTTACTTCATTTTTACAGTTGTCTTGTCAGCTTTCTCTAAGTGTTCCTGGAAAACATTTCCTACTGCATGAACTCATTTCACTGTCTTTATTGTCATCTACAGTCTCCAGACTTCTATATGGAAATGAAGTGGGAGTTCAACAGTTGGAGTAAGTTATTTTATGTCTATGTGTGGCTATATATCATTAAAGTGTATACTGTGTGTACAGAGTAGTATTTTCCTGCAGTACATGCTAGTTATCATCAATCAACTATTCAAGAGAGGAAAGTATCTCTACATAATTTCTACTTTGCAGAGGTTATATCAGGTCATACAGGAAATACCACATATCTGCGCATTTGTCAGGGTAGCATTTGTTTTTGTTTATTAATGATTGATAACGTTTTTCATGTGTGAGACATTCATTTGCTGTTGCTTCACAGTCCCTCTTCTGTCCCGGGTTTGTCCAAGTGATGTTTGTCGCATTTGGAAAAGTGGCGCCAGCCTGCGAGTGGATGCCACTCTTCTGGGCTTTGAAAACATGACTTGGATCAGAGGGCGCAGGAGCTACATCTTCAGAGGAGATGGTTTGTGCTTTAAGTCGCCTGCACTAAAAGAAGAGTTCTTATGATTTGTGCTATTTCATTTATCCCTGAATGTATCTTTACAGATTCATATGCAGAGTTGATGGAGGTGAACCATGACGATGAGGTTGTGGACACTGAACGCTTCAACATATCTCAAGAAATCGAGGAAGTCACACTAGAGTCAATGCAGCCAGCTGAACAGGAAGTTGCCAAAAGGCTGACCACTCCTATTGTCAACACCTACTTGGACACCAAGGAAATGGCTTTTGAGAGGCAAGAGTCACATCTTTTTATGTTGTCATTTTTCTCATAACATGCATAGATCATACTTCCTTTGATCAGCCAAGAACAAACTCCACTCTGACAGTTTTTCATAAGCGTTGCCATGTCACGTGTGTTGTTACTGTGCAAGCAGTGTTATCGTTTGACTTTCCAGTATCGAGCTTGCATCTAATTGTCTGACACGCATCATTCACACTTATCTGATCAAATGTTATCTGACATGAATTGTTTGTATCTTGTCTGACTTCACTTACGCAAGTGAGGTAACCCTACAAAATAACAACTTAAACAAATATATATTATGAATGTGAGCAAATAATGTTAGTTACGTTTAATAGGCCTTTCTTCAAGTGGACAATTGACCTTCAACAGAGTTGGGCATTAGTGAACCCTGAACTTAAGATATGACGTGCCACAGCCTTGATATTCAAAAAGTGTCTCAGCCACTTATTGGATGCCATTGTTAATAACTACAGCTGTGCTTAAACTGCTCCACATGTTGACCTTTTAACATTGCTGATAAGATAACTTCTTTCTTATTGAAGCTGATAGTAGTTTATTGAGGCTAGGAGGAACATATCTCATTTAAAACAAAACTTAACAATGCAACACAGCTAAAGACTAAGATAAGAGAACTATCACAGATTGGTGCAAACACCTTTTTAAATGCCACATTTTAATCCATTAACAGGCTACTTCAAATTCCCAAATCTTTATTTGATAAGATAAGATAGAGCTGTATTGTCTCCCTTAGGAGAAATGTGTCTTGGGCATCGAGATAATACACATAAAACATTCAGGTCAATCAGTCATAGACACAGAACAGAGATCACATATCACAAGGCAAAGAAACATACAGGTACAGCACTTTCCCTATTGCACCTATGCATAGTGTCCGTCAAATTGCACATATCCCTATTATGTCCATACCTATTTACACATAATGCACTTCCCCTATTTAACCTTCTCGATTGTACAAACTACACTGTAAACATTGCACCTCCCAACAACT